AAAAGTATAACAAACCATTTGATCTCATATACAGTGATCTATGGGGTCCTGCTCCAATCAAGTCCTCCACGGGATACATTTACTACATGTCCTTTGTTGATGCACATAGTCGATTCACATGGATCTATCCTCTCAAACTAAAGTCTGAAGCACTCCTAACTTTCAAACAGTTCACTACCTTGATTACCAATCAGTTTCAAACCACCATTAAAGCCATTCAAACAGATTGGGGGGTGAATTTCGCCCCTTTACTCAACTCCTTAACCAACTGGGTATCATTCACATAATTGTCTGCCCTCACACACATCACCAAAATGGTGTTGTTGAGAGGAAGCATAGGCACATAGTTGAAACAGGTCTATCTCTTCTTGCTCATGCTTCTCTACCATTAAAATTTTGGGATCATGCTTTCATATCAGCTGTGTACCTTATTAATTGTCTCCCTACTGCATCATTGCACTTTGAGGTACCATTTACCAAGCTGTTCCAAATCATACCTGACTACAAGTTCCTCAAGGTATTTGGATGTGCCTGTTCCCCTTTCTTCGACCATATAATCAACATAAAATTGATTTCAGATCCAGTGAGTGTGTTTTTCTTGGGTATTCACCCAATCACAAAGGATACAAGTGTCTCAATTCGGATGGAAAATTGTTTATTTCTAAGGATGTGGTCTTCAATGAATACAAATTCCCTTATGTATCATGGTTCAAGCCTGATATCTCTTCCTCTCCTGTCTCTTCCTCATTTGTGAACAATGTCATTCCTCTTGTCTCTCACAGTCCATCAGTCACTCTTTCACAGTCCCTCTTGCCTGCCATACACAATTCTCCTTTAGATACCTTACTTGCCACACATGACTCCTGTCCAGCCCACACTGTTGTCATTCCTTTCGATTCTGATTCAAGCTCCTCATGCCCTCCACCCTCACCTACTGAACCGCAAATAAGGCCTCATTCCTCTCCAATCCCATCTGACGCTCCCTCTCTGCCCATACTTGCTCCAACACGGCACTCCACCAGACCCTCACATCCTCCTTCCTATCTCCAAGATTATCACTGTAAGCTACCTTCTAGCTCTGTCAACCCACAGCCACATGCCCTGCTCACATCTCTTGAACCAAGCTCAATTAAACAGGCCTTGTCATCTCCTTGCTGGCGTTCGGCAATGCAAGCTGAATATGATGCTCTTCAAGCAAATGAAACCTGGTCTTTGGTTCCCCTTCCATCCAACAGAAGAACTATAGGATGCAAGTGGGTGTTTCGTGTTAAAGAAAATTCTGATGGGAGCATCAACAAGTATAAAGCAAGACTAGTTGCCAAAGGTTTTCATCAACGAGCTGGATTTGATTATAATGAGACATTCTCACCCGTAGTCAAGCCCATTACAATTCGTACCATCCTTACTATTGCTGTATCCTATGGCTGGTCTCTAAGACAGCTTGATGTCAATAATGCCTTTCTTAATGGCATCCTTGAAGAGGAGGTTTACATGCAACAACCTCCTGGATTCTCTTCTAATGATAGATCTCTTGTGTGCAGGTTAAAGAAAGCTCTCTATGGCCTCAAACAAGCATCACGAGCCTGGTTTGAAAAGTTGAAAAATGGATTGTTCTAGCTGGGATTTGTTGGAAGTAAATGTGATCCTTCCTTGTTTATTTATCGCAACAATGGTCACTGTGTTTTTATGTTGGTATATGTGGACGACATTATTATCACTGGAAGTGATGCTCAGCTTGTCCAACATCTCATTACTCGACTTAACTCCCAGTTTGCACTCAAAGATCTTGGTATACTTGACTATTTCTTGGGGATTGAAGTCAGAAGAGCAGCTTCTGGTGCACTGATCCTTTCCAAATCTAAGTACATTAAGGACTTGCTGCTCAAGGCTCATATGGCAGAAGCTAAAGGGATTTCAACTCTCATGCCCTCTGGATGCAAATTGTCCAAGAATGGTTCTAACTACTATGCTGATCCTTTCCACTTTCGCTCCATTGTTGGGGCATTGCAGTATGCAACTTTGACAAGACCAGAAGTCAGCTATCCTGTTAATAAAGTTTGTCAATTCATGTCTCAACCTCTCGAAGAGCACTAGATAATTGTTAAACGCAGTCTTCGGTATTTAAAGGGCTCTCTTGATCATGGATTACTGCTGCAACCAAGCAATCCTGGCGGCCACTTCACCATCACTGCTTTTTGTGATGCTGATTGGGCCACTGATCCAGATGATAGGAGATCAACCTCAGGCGCCTGTGTTTACTTTGGGGCAAACCTTGTGTCCTGGTGGTCCAAGAAACAAGCAGTTGTAGCACGATCCAGTACTGAGGCAGAATATAGAAGTCTGGCTCTTGTCACTGCTGAGATTCTTTGGCTGAAATCGTTACTCCATGAGCTGCATATTCAGTTCAGCACCCCTCTTGTCTACTGTGATAATCTTAGTACCGTAGCCTTGTCTCGCAATCCAGTCATACATGCTCGCACAAAACATATGGAGCTTGACATCTTTTTTGTTAGAGAAAAGGTCATTGCCAAGGAGCTGCATGTTCTTCATGTTCCAACTATTGATCAAGTTGTTGATACTCTTACCAAACCTCTTGGGGCTCCTCGATTTGTTTCTCTTCGTGACAAACTCAGAGTTGTGGGTTCTGCCTCTTTCAATCACTGCCTCTGAGTTTGCGGGGGTGTATTAACACTGCTGATACTTCTACACGATTGAAGTCTTCATTTGTAATTGTAGTTAATTGTAGTTAGCTTTCAGTTTGTTATTACAGCTGTCAAGCTGTTAGCGTCTGTTAGATACAGTTGTTAGCATCTGTTAGAGTTTAGTTACAGGTGGCTTAACACCATGTGCTGAGTCATATTCTTTGAGTCCTGTGTATAAGCTTCAATTCTGTATCACTCTCATTATCGAAAATATACATGCAATTCATTTACCCACATTTCTCTCATCTGCTTCTATTCTTTCTCTCTCCACTTTCTTGAGTATACAACCTTTCCCAACTTTACTTTCCTAACTTTTAAATTAAAATCCCAGAACCAAACGCCCCTTAGGGGGTGTTTGGTTGAAGGTTTTTGAGGAGAGTGATAGGGAAATGTGAAGTGGGGAAATTGGGTGCCCATGTTTGGTTGACAAGCTTTCAAATTTGCCCACCTAAATGAGTTTGCTAGGTATCCCATTTGCATGGCTATTTGGATCAAAATTGATGGACAAATATTCCCACTTTAGATGTGGTATTCCCCCCGTTTGCATGGCTATTTGGGATTTTGTTGGTTTTTTTTTTTTTTCCATCTATATTTTACCTACAACCAAACATAGACTTTATAAAAGTTACTTAATTTTTTCAGTTAAATTTTTTCCTACCAAATAACTTTTTTTTATATTTTCCTACCAAACTCACTTTCCTATCATTTCCTACCATTTTCCTATGAATATCATTTCCCAATCATTCGTAAAAAATTTCCTCAACCAAACGCCCCCTTATGGTAGAAACTAGAGATAGCCACATATCTACAAAACAATCGTTCATTGAAGTCGTTCACCATCGACAAAACCATTGTATCTGAGCAAGAATATCTTTTCACAATCCGACAAAACAATTATATCAGAAGCGTGTACATGGTGCAGTTGCAATTTGAGGCCTATGGGGGTGGTTAATGATTGAGACCCAATTAATAATAACCATAATAGTTTTACATATTATATATTCATATATACTTTTTTATAAAGTATTGAAGAATAATTTTAACTACATTGCGCTATTAAAGAACTATGTGTTGATTAACTTGGATCCTAGACAATTATAATTTTCTCTGTTATTTTAATTGCGTTACCTACTTTCCATCCCTATCAATTTAGAGTATGAGATGACTGGAATTGCTTGGTTGCGCCAGCGCGGTAATGGATGGCATCAAACCACATCAATTTTATTAATGATTAATTTAATACGCAAGTGAAAACCACATCTGTATTTGTATTTTTCTTTCCCTCAGTGCTGACGTGTAGATATATGATTGCAATGTTGACGAGGGTCCAAAATGCGTCACTGATAGAACAATCTTGTTTACAAACCTAACACTAATAGTAATTGACCCGAATAAAAACAAAAGAAATCTCCACAAACTATATCGCTTGATTTCAAGTAATTTTTATTTTATTTTATTTTTAGGATTCACCTTCTCGCTGTGTTTGACTCGAAACATGTTTACTCCTTGAGTTTATTTTATTTTTAGGATTCATCTTCTCGCTGTTTTAGACTCGAAACATGTTTACTCTTTGAGTTTAAGGTTTAAGTGTGTTCTTTTAAAGAACATAAATTGTGTTATTTTAATTTTTAACACTATATCTTATCAGTAAGACATTGTTGTAATATGAAAAATTATTCTTTTTCTTTCTTCACGTCATAGGAAAGAATTTTTTTTTTTTCATATTATAATGATATCTTACCAGTAAGACACAATGTTAAATACTAAAAAAATACAAGGTTGTGTCCTTTAAAAACACAAATATTTTTCCCCAAGTTTAATCATCCTAGTAAAGTTTATATTTGTAAATCAACTATCCTTCACAATTAAAAACTCCAAATTCAGGCCCTCCTATTTGTTAGAATTATGTAGGGAAGAAAAATCCATTTTTAAAATATTTTAATTGCGAACTATTTTGAACAGATAAAAAATTAATCAACACACTAATTTCTCCATCTTAAACTCGACACGTGCATAGAGGATCCAAGTTAACACGCTTGAGAGTTAGATACAGATATTTGAGAGTATTCTCTTGATTCACTTGACACCAAATGTTATCAAGCAGTAGCAGTGCACACGACAACCAGTGCCTTCATTCAGCTTAGCATTCGGCCTCAAAAGATAGTAACTCGGGCACACAAGAAACCAACTTGCTTCACTTGTGTTATCACATTAATTAAAAGTCAGATGTTATGGTATAGTTCATGTAATTTACTACACTGCAATCCATGAACAATAGTTACGAGATGTTTCCCACAATTCAAAAACGCCGACCACAAAATTGATGGCAATCTGGTTTTAATATTTTCAGATACTCAGTTTATCAGAAAATAAAAAAAAAGGGTCACAAGAAATCAAGAATATAGTCTTTGGGAAATACTGATCAAGGAAACCAAGCTTGGCTGTTACATATATTAATAAAAACAAAAAATTGAAGGAAAAAAATTGCTACCCTTTGAGTTTTCTATCATTTCTGGTTTTCTTCCTAGATTCTCTGTTCTCTGCGGGGTATTGCTTTTTTATTAATAGGTTGCACATTGCTGTTTTCACAGCTTCAGCTGCAGCCAAAAATGTATTGTCGTCAACGGATGCAGTTCCTTGCAACGTTTCTCGCAGCTTTTCTCCCCCAGGTATCTCATCATCTCCCAGGACAACTGGCTCTTGCTCAACATCAATACCAGAAATTACTCGGACACGGGCCAAAGAGGGGTAACTACAACCAGGTAAATTAGAGACACCTGTAACCATCCACAATTTCCCAGTAGACGGGATGTTCCCCAGGCAGGTAGGGATAAAGGCCTCTCCTGCAATAGAAACCACCTGCAATGTTCCCGTCAGTTTAAATGCCACTTCAGAAGCCAATATTTTCTTATCCATGGATTTGCAGTTAGCTTTGCTTTCATAATGACAACGCATAAATAGAAATCTAACTTCAGACATGAAAAATAGACGTCAAGAGATGAAAGAGACCCTAAGTAAAATGACGGTAACAATGCAAGTCAATGGTCATTTCAAGCATGTGTTATCACAGCCATTACCTTGGCAACAGAAAGTGTTTGTGCAGAAACATTGCAACTCAACAATACTATTCCTTGCAAGCTACAATGGCATCAAATAAAACTCGTCAGTAAACTAACACTAAATTCTCCTGAAGAGAAATATGACAGAATGCGATAGTGTGAGACTTGCCTCTGAATGGCCACTGCAACAAGCAAACCATCCAGGGTGGTGCATAAATCAGTAACAGCATGGCCATGCTCCTCTGCTTTACCATTAGACTCTAAAAGCCCTGCCTTTGGAAACAGAAGATGAAGGACAGCAAAGTTAAAACCAAGTGTAACAGCAAGAAGAGTTAAGAACTGTCGCCATATTGAAATCACTAGAATTTATTTTATTTATGTTAACTAGCACAGACTAGTCAAGTAATAATTTTTCAAAATGCATTTATATTGAAGAAAGCTCTTTGAGCCTCTCAGAAATATAGAAATACCTTAATTGCAACCTCACAAGTATCTAGGAGTGCTCCGGAGGAGATATCCCACAATCGCACCTACAGAAAGCAATTCATGCAACATCTATTTAAAAGGGAAACTATAAAGGGGGAAAAAAAATACAGGATTCCACAATACTGAAATGTTGAATGAATTACTGACTGTTGAATCACCACTGCCAGAGAGAAGAAGGTCTTGAGGGCATTCTTGAACATGAAGGAAGCCAAGGCAGGAGACAAACCTGCAAATAGATACATGTCAGAATCTAGAAGCAGGAAGACAAATTCTACTTATCAAAAAGGTATGTCAGCTTCACTCATTTGATATATTGAAGCGGATCATACTCAAAATTTCCATTCATCAAGACATCAAATACAGTAGTAAGTAGATTGATAAAAGCAACTCTCACTCTGTGTGTCCAAGACAGAAACTTTGTATCTGATGAGCTCCATTCAAGGGCTTGTCGGGAAAATTAGTAACCTGTTATACGGATAAAAAGTTAATAAGAAAAAAAATAAAGAATAGTGAACCAAAATACACAATGCTCATTGATTCATGGGTAAGAAATGTTAGCTTACACGAATTTTAAAATCCCTATCGGCACTTAAAATAAACCGACCATCTGGAGAAAACTCCTGCAGGAAGGAAGCATGTGATAATAAACAATTGAAGAAAAGATAACTAAGAAAACAAACAGAACAACAAAACAAAACCACCAAATATAACAAAATCACTCACTGACCAAGCTAGTTATGATACTGCAATAGTGAGAAAGAAGCGGTGTTGGTTTGTTACAAGCTACTGCATGATTGAGATCAACAACCCAAACAAGGCCAAATTTATCAGCGAAACACACATGAGATCCATCATTGCTTATGGCAACCGCAGTGACTCTCTTTTCCGAAGACCTAATTCATTGTTAGAAAAGAAGGAACTATTGAATTGAACGCGTGTGACGCAAAACAAACACAGAGAGATAAACCACGCGAGTTAAGCTAGAGAGAGAAGTGGTTACACGGTACAGATGCAGCGCCAAGATTGTGGTGACCATATCTTAACGGTTTTATCATCACCGGCGGATACGAAGAGTTTTCCATTTGCACCAAACTCAATAGCTCTAATATTATCCTTATGAAATGGCTCACCAATAGAATCATCTGTTAAAGAAGCTGCACAACCACCACTAAACAAGCCATGCTCAGTTCAACTCAGCTTCTATATTCTATTAGCTATAAAATAAATCGTAGTTGGGAAGGGAAGCTTACTGGAGGTCGAACACACGGAGCTCCGGTCCAACCGCCACGGCGACGGAGTCTTGGTTCGGGTGAACCGCGATGAGCGCCGGAGCTACCTCAACGTCTTTCTTCGATTCTGGTTCACCTTCTTCCATTACACTTACCGCACTTTCAAAATTAGATGCAAAATCAATAGCACTAGGCGTTAGCAGTTAGCACCAACGCTCCGACTTAGGGTTTGGCGCTTCACCGCTCCGAATTTTGGGCTTTTGGGGGGTTTCTCCTTCAATCCACTTTGAGCCTAATTAACTTTTTGTGAGCAATGAAATGACCCATCGACGCAGCACCACAAAGAAAATACTTTTAGTTGACGCAAACTAGAAAATTAAGTACTACTTTAGTTTCAATTCAAGTTTTAGTCTTTAATCAAAGGGATTAACGTGATAAAATTAGGGTTTGGTGTTTGTCTAAGTTAGGTCATTCTAGGAGAGAAATAGACACAGAACAAAAGAAATCGTGAAAAAGAGAAAATGAGTGATTTTTTTTAATTTAAAATTCAAATTTTCTGTGTCTGTATATCTCTTAAAATGACATAACTTTCTGTCATTTTAAATGACAAACACTTTTCCCATAAAATTATTTCTTATATCCCAAAATGATGTTACTTTGTGATTTAGGAAAAAAATAAAAAGCATTTTAAAATTTTTGCTTTGCTCGTCTTATATTATAAATTTGCTAAACGGACGTCTTTTTGGGTTGTAAGTTATCACATTTTCCCCTTAATTCAAATGATTAGAGTTGTTTAAATTTAGATGAAATTGACATACAACACGTACATATATGTCTTACAAAACAAAAATACACATCTCAATTATTGTCTCAAATAGTATCTTAGCTATATCCTTCTGATTTATTTTAGATGTTTACTTCACAAAATAATAATGGATAAATATATAACAGGGAATAGATTAAGACAATGCTTAACTGTTCCTAGAGTAAGAAAAAGTTGTTATTCTAAATCAATATTAGTTCAATCATCGCTGTCTCTTAATTGGGCAATGTTTTTATGTTATAATTGAAATGACATACTTTTAAATGATACAAAGTAAGATCACTTTCATCAAGTATGTCTATCAATAATTTGCAAGGGAAAAACGTGAATAAAAAAAAGTAAGGAAAGAAACGTATGAAACTTCATCCGAGTAAAGAGTAGACGACGAGCATTCTCAATTTTTGCAGCTTAACGTACAATGTTAACCATAAAAATAACTAACTAAAGTGATAATTAATAGATGAGAATGTGGAAATGTAAAAACCATCTCAAAACTAATTTAATTGCAATATGACAAAATGACGAGATTATGAAGTTTTTCGAAGCAAAAAAAAGGCTGAACAATTAAAACGAAGTTGACTTCTGCTATATGAATTAGTCCTTTATACGTGAGGTTGAGAAATAAATTGCAAGGTGGAATACTATAGATTTGTTGCCCTATTATCTGGTGGAACTTAATGTTTTACTTGGAAAAGAACAAACACTGAAACTAACCTCATTACCGCATGTAACCAACACAAAAGTAAGGACAAATATTATGGCTCACATACAAAACAGGGAAGCCATTGAACAAGTGATTGTTTGTCTAGTTTAAAGGATCAAAATCCCAACGAGCACAAATAACACGAGAGCTAAGAAAGTGAAGGTCTAAATTCTGAGCAGTGTACAACCAAGAATAGTACCACGACACCGAGTCATTGGAGCTGCCTGGCGCCAAGTGGGTCTCTCAATCCCAAGTGTGAGAACATCAACATCGGATAATGGCTTAATTTCCCAATTCCATCTGTCAGGGCCAATGAAGCCTCCGATCAAATATAGCTCCTCACCTAGCCCAATCATTGCAAACCCAATTCTCCTCCTAAATTCAGATGCTGAACCTACAACTTTCCTCACTTCTTTGTCCTGCTTGAAGATAAATCCATGGCTCATCACATAAAGTGCATCCTGAACAACTGCCATCTGACCTTGGAGCCACGCACATTCCTCAACGGTCCACCCAGGCCCCGCATTATCTAAAACTTGCACTGTTGACATATCCTTGTGCAGTACATGCACCTTTCCGCCAATCACTACTCCTGAACAGGCTGAATTATGAGTGCGATGAAGATCAGGCATTGGAATCCAAACATCCTTCTCAGGGTCGTACATTTCTGCTTGAGATATTGATTTTCTGCAGCTAGTGAAGCCCCCAGCCACAATAATTTTCCCATTCAAAACACAGCATGCAAACATAGAACGGGGGACAAGCATTGATGCACGAGGGGACCACTGCCGGGCTACAGGGTCGTACGACCAGACTTCATCAGTTGCAAAACAACCATCTTGGTCACCAGTCAAAGGATCAACAGCGTCACTTCCACCACCAATTACAAACAACTTTCCAGCACTGGACACAGCACCGAAGTGGGAAAGGTGTCTGATCTTTGAGGGAAGAACAGGAAGTGTAATCCAGAGATCTCGTAAAGGGTCATACAGCTGCCATAAATTCTCCGGATCAAAAGCACAGACACACAACAGATTCTCAGATGAACCAACCTCCTGACGAGCTTGAAATAGTTCAGGGCTATGAATGGCTGCTCGCCAAGATCGAGAGACAAGCTCTAACTTTGGGTGGAGGTAAAAGGGAACCCGTGCAAGGCACCTAATTGCAACAGCATCAGGAAGTCCTTCAATCAGTCCGGACATCATAAATTTATAACTGCTGTTTCATCAATGTCTGATAAGTTCCACTACTAACCTCCAGCTACTATGGAAGGTGCACCTGCAATCACAACATTTATCATGTTTTGGATACCAATATTGTGGTACTTGAGAAATTCAACTACAATATATTAGAATCAGTACCAATTTGAAGGCATGGTCACTAGAATGACACATACAAAGTTTGAATGGAAATTTGTTGTCTACAAAGCATGGTAGATTTTCTTCATTTAGATATCAGAAACAAGTTAAGCAATAAAATTTCCATTCAATGAATTAAACAGCAGCAAGAATAATAACAAAAGCAGTGCACTTGATAATATTCTCTCCCTTCATAAGTTAATTTTTTATCGAACTTATATGTTTCAGATCTTGAAAAAAGATAAAGGTCATTGAACTAACAAAAATGATAGGGAATGTTGGAATTGGATGTAAAAAATAAATTCAATTTTTTTAATTCATTAGGATGTTGATTATGATTGGTAAATAGTAACTAGTAAGTCTCACATAGAGACACATACAGATCCAGAGGATTTCAAACCAGTGGCCCCTCCCTCCCCCTCATGGTAGAAGTCACGGTGACAATGTAGACACTCGCACATAATAGTTTCTTTCCTAAGAGTCAACAAGAGACAAGATGATTGTTTAAGATAAAGCCAAGAAAGCCTTCTAAAATATTTCACCCTCTTCCCCACCAACTGTCCCATTGTCTCTTATAGCCTTCAAACTTCAATCATCAGTTTGCATTTTATCTACCTTCTCCATAGACTGCATATTACTTACAGAAATATTGTTTCTTTCAACCTCACTCCCTCGGAAAAATTAAACAAAGAGCTTAAATTTATAGCTTGAATTTCTCAAAAAACTATAACTACTCTCATCAACCAGACCAGCCCTCAATGTTTAATGGGCTTGCACTGACACATCTAAAATTAGGGACCTGGGCTCATTCTAGACAATTGAAGGATAAAATCTGGGTTCATAAAGGACACAGGATAGCACAAGCATGCAATCCAGTATCATCTAATGTTGATTCCCTATTTAAAGGATAGGAGAAGAAAGAGGGATTACCTTAAAATAAAAATGCTGATCCCTCTATGCAACACATGCTCAAGTTTTACTTTTAACTCTAATTTTCAATATACCTATGGGAATTGCAGGAACAATAGATGCTACAGTGGCTAGTTAACCAGCAGGATCTAATTCTCAAATCATGCCCAAAAACAGCCTTGTACTATATATATGTTTAATTTTTTTTTCCTTTTCTATTGATTGTTGGGGGGGTTGCGGCTTGGCATATCTGAGACCTTTAATAACCAGAGAACAGTTGCATTCCCATCCCTGGACTTGTTATTAACATTTACGCCAACCCTCTCTAAGCTGCATTAGCTTTAGCTTTGCACAGCTCAGTTCCATGATTCCAAGATATAGCAAAAAGCATATTACAGTTCCATTATTCCAAGATATACCAAAAAGCATACTACAGTTCCATTATTCCAAGATATAGCAAAAAGCATACTAAAGGGTCAAGGAAGAGTTAGATTGATTTACTTTCCAACACTAGATGTCCAACCCCAATGACAGAGCAATAAAGAGCATAAACTAGTTATAAATGAGTAGTAAAGGAAATACCAATGTCAGAGAAACCTAATTCACTGAAATTGCAAAAGGTCATACCAGCACTACTTTTCTAATCCAGCACAAAATAGAGCAAAATGTTTCTATGTCATTGAGAAAACCATGAACGACTTAAATTGAACCGCGGGATGTTAATATACCTGATGTCCCCAAGCAAAAAACAAAGGTAAAAAGCATATTGATCTGTAAAAGGACAAATAAACTCCATTGGAAATTATATGCTATAGCAAACATTTATAAAAAAGATGCATGAACATGAAAACCCCAAAGCCACACCAACCAACAGAAGAGAAAGAAAAGCAAAAATGATCATCATCCGAACACAGAAGTTGAGGAAAATGCAATGCTTTCCCAATAGGTAGTATAGTGCATGGGTTCAGAAAGAAAAATTGACCGAAGAACAAAAACCATTTCCCAGTTTTAGTGAATGATCCAAAACCAATGAACTGAAAGATTTCCCGAAAATGTGTCAAATGGGCGACAATAAAAATATAAAAATAAATAATAAAAAGACTCGCAGCCAGTGACGTTGTATTGGATTCAAGAACCACACTTCATATACAAGCAATAAAACACAGCTCTTGGAATTCGAATTGGGATTCCAGCCCTAACATTTTTCAGCAGTCTAACAAAAGAAGGGGCAAGACAAGTACAAGAATCGTGACAAGTCGCAAAGCAAAACCCAGTTGAAATTCAAGATGAAAAGAGCAATGGGTATTCAATCAACTCCAAATAGAATCAAAATCCACGCAAATTAAGCATAACCCCTCACTCACGATTCGAATCATACAAAAAATAAAACCAAAATAAAAAAAGAAAAGAAAGAATGGGTAGGGAAAGGACGTTTACCTGGCAGCGAAGACGAGCAGAGAAAAAAAAAAAGGGAATCGGAGAAATTGTTGAAGAGAGAGAAACGAATACGAAAAGGGGAAGAAGAGGGTAACGATGATGCGAACGAAATTTGGGTGCTAAGATGAGTTGCACGGCTAAGGAAACGGCACGCAGAATTAAAAGAGTTACAATGTGAATGTGTTTAGTGTAACTTCCTCTTCCCTAAGGTTTCGTTTCACAAAAATGCAAACCCAATTTGCATGTTTATATTTTTATTTTCAATTTCATAAGATTGGGTTAGATTTTAATTTTGGTAATTTTGATGATGATGATGATAATAATAATAAGATTAAGAGAAAGGGATAAGAATGGGAAATTAAAAGTGTCATAAGTGATATATAGCTGCGTAACTTGCGCTGTGTGCCCCCGACTCACTAGTCATTCATTACGCAGACCAGACGAATACTTTTTCCGCATATTCTTAATTCCTTCCCCCCACACCTTCTCGAATCTCCAGTTTTTTTTTTCTCTTTTTTTTTTTTGTTTTTACTTTGGTTTATACTTTATACTATACTCTTTTGATTTATTTTTTATTTTTCCATGCCTAAGCCTAACAGGTTATCCTTGCAATCACGTTAGGTTGGCATGCGAATTGCGCGTGGAGAAGGAAATTGTAAAGAAAAAAAAAATTTAAAAATTCCACAACTACAACAACAAATTATGTGAGAGGTATTATATAACTACTCTAGCACATTCAATCCATTTGCTGGCTACGTTGAGTTGAATATTGACTTTTGATTTCGTAGGGACCACGAAATCAAGCTACTTATTTATTTATTTTGGTTAGAAATGCGTGTTTAATTTTTTAATTCATGTATAATTAGAATTGGAATATTATACAATTTATTTGTTTATTAAAATTAATAATGAATGGAAGTTATTATTATTATTGAATATGGTTTTCTTATTTTAAAATTTTTAAATGCAGAATATTGTAAAATTTATTAATCATGTAAAAATTAAAAATAATTCTATGTATTATTTGTGACATGAATCCACAATTTCTATGTGATCTGCTTGTTTAATCCGTGGTTTTCATTATTCCTATTCAATCATTATGATTTATAAAGTATCTAAAAAAATGGGTATCAATTTAATTAGGCAAATAAGTTACGGTTCTATATCAATTGGTTTCAAATTTATATAATCAAAAAATTATGCATATAGGTGGGAAAGCACGCATTGTGTTATGCTTACATATTAATTTTCTCCCCAATTCTTCCATGCAGTTACTTTTAAAAAAATCTTTGGTGTAATACATACGAAAATATCTTTAATATTTTTATAGTATTAAAGATTCGGTACCTCAATTGTTAAGATTAGAAAAAGAAATAATTAATCTAATTTTATTTATTCCACCCATCCCCTTATATTGTTATCATTTCAGTTTTTTTAATAAAAAAAGTACATATTCTCATAGCACTGAGTATAAATTAGTAAATTTTATTCAATTATAAGGAAGAATCTCAATACTTTTATAAATCTTTTTATGCTAAATTTATTAATACCAAAATTGTATCTAATTATGCTAGAAGTCCTTAATTAAGTATGATATATTACATCATTTCTTTCTTTTTTTGGAAATAATATTACATCATTTCTTAACACTAGCCAAAACTCTCTTTTCTATATATCAATACTAATTACCTATGAATGGTCTCCTCAAATATTTCAACTTTTTTAGTCAACTAATCCTGAGTTGAGGTTTAGTCACATTTAAATTTCTTTGTGCTTCTCCAAATATATATTTGGTGGGAATGAAATTCAAGTTCTCTCCACACCTAATTAGTCTATATTGTCAATTGAGCTACACCCGTGTTGGCTAAAACTTTTTTTACCATGTGTGAAAATATTTTTAATGATAGGTACATTTCTATCATGATTGTCAAAACTTTACACAAATTAAATAATGATTTGAGTGTTTATGGTAGACGATGCTTAACTATAATTCAGTTTTCTTTAGAGAAATTTTTTCACTCAAAACCATTGTTCAAGAACTTAAAGTTTGAGAACACTAGATAAAAAGTTTCTTTCAGTTTTTATTTTTATTTTTATTTTAGGGGTTTTGGTTTGAATGAATTGTAAAATATTTTTGAGATGAATACTAATTACCTATGAATCGTCTCCTCAAATATTTCAACTTTTTTAGTCGACTAATCCTGAGTTGAGGTTTAGTTACATTTAAAATTCTTTGTGCTTCTCCAAAGATGTATTTGGTGGGAATGAAATTCAAGTTCTCTCCACACCTAATTAGTCTATATTGTCAATTGAGCTACACCCGCGTTGGCTAAAACTTTTTTTACCATGTGTGAAAATATTTTTAATGATAGGTACATTTCTATCATGATTGTCAAAACTTTACACAAATTAAATAATGATTTGAGTGTTTATGGTAGACGATGCTTAACTATAATTCAGTTTTCTTTAGAGAAATTTTTTCACTCAAAACCATTGTTCAAGAACTTAACGTTTGAGAACACTAGATAAAAAGTTTCTTTCAGTTTTTATTTTTATTTTGATTTTAGGGGTTTTGGTTTGAATGAATTGTAAAATATTTTTGAGATGAAAACTAATTACCTATGAATCGTCTCCTCAAATATTTCAACTTTTTTAGTCGACTAATCCTGAGTTGAGGTTTAGTCACATTTAAAATTCTTTGTGCTTCTCCAAAGATGTATTTGGTGGGAATGAAATTCAAGTTCTCTGCGCACCTAATTAGTCTATATTGTCAATTGAGCTACACCCGCATTGGCTAAAACTTTTTTTACCATGTGTGCAAATATATTTAATGATAGGTACATTTCTATTATGATTGTCAAAACTTTGCACAAATTAAACAATGATTTGAGTGTTTATGGTAGACGATGCTTAACTATAATTCAGTTTTCTTTAGAGAATTTTTTTCACTCAAAACCATTGTTCAAGAACTTAAAGTTTGAGAACACTAGATAAAAAGTTTCTTTCAGTTTTTATTTTTATTTTGATTTTAGGGGTTTTGGTTTGAATGAATTGTAAAATACTTTTGAGATGAAAACTAATTACCTCTCAATCGCCTCCTCAAATATTTCAACTTTTTTAGTCACATTTAAAATTCTTTGTGCTTCTCCAAAGATGTATTTGGTGAGAATGGATTCAAGTTCTCTCCACACCTAATTAGTCTATATTGTCAATTGAGCTATGCCCGCGTTGGCTAAAACTTTTTTTACCATGTGTGAAAATATTTTTAATGATAGGTACATATCTATCATGATTGTCAAAACTTTACACAAATTAAATAATGATTTGAGTGTTTATGGTAGACGATGCTTAACTATAATTCAGTTTTCTTTAGAGAAATTTTTTCACTCAAAACCATTGTTCAAGAACTTAAAGTTTGAGAACACTAGATAAAAAGTTTCTTTTAGTTTTTATTTTTATTTTGATTTTAAGGGTTTTGGTTTGAATGAATTGTAAAATATTTTTGAGATGAAAATCTAAAGCTCCCTAGGTTGGCCATGGCAAAATGCATATACTTTCATAAGGCTTGTTTTCTATAATCCAATTAAATCCGTATGAGTAGAATTATTTCAACTCAAAACCGTAAGACATTATGTGAAGATATATTAATTATTTTATATCTCTTTAACAAAGATGACATTGAAACAAAAAATAACGTTTAGGAAATAAATAAAACAAAAAAAATAGTTGGAGACTAAAGTTAAGTTTTTTTTTTTTTGTGAGATAAAAACAATTGTTTCAGCCATGCAAGAATCTATCCCTTAATTTTTCCATCAATTATTACAACTTACACTTTACTGTACAATAAAGTATGTTCTAATATATTATATGTGGACATAAAGGCATATGATTATAATGTACCAAAAAAAAAAAAAGGCATATGATTATATGTTTAAATCTTAACTATGTCAATTAGGCTGTGAACAACATCTTTGTGAATCTCCTAGCTAGTCTTCACATGATATTCCTTTTAACTGAATGGAGGAAATAAATTAGTCATAGCTAGCACAAACGATCGACTGGACACCATCTAACCATAGTACTAAAAGTGCATCCTTCACTTTACATGTCCCTCTCTAAAATTACGTTATTTTTTTTTTTTTTGGTGGATAAACTACGTTACTTTACTTATGTTAAAGTAGTGTTTGTACGTAGTTGTTTTATTTTTATTTTTGTTATTTTATTATGCAAATTCCAACCTAAAATTCATGCATTTTTTTTTATAGAATATAATGCACATTTTATTTTTGGCAAAAAGAGAGAGTATATACCAAACATGTTGAGTGTCCATAAATGAATGTTAGTGAAATGAAATTAAGTGAGAAGTAAATTACTTGTTAATATCTTTCTCAAATTTAAAGCTAACTCTATGTTTTTTTAAATAAAAAATAAAAAGTAATCTACGTGGCCTTTTGGAACTAAAAAGTAATACACAAGTTCGGCCATTTTCATATCATTCACACAAAATAAAAACTAAAGAGGAAATTTCCCCATCTTTATATAACATTCAATAATAACATGACTAAATTACACAACCCATGGCACCGTTTACTCGAGTTTCGTTAATCCCGCAAAAATTAATTAGGCATACCTAACTAGTTGTATTTAAGCCATTTTTATCTAATGCGACTTGATTATCACGATTTCTAAAGTTTGGGGGACAAGTAGCAACTTGGCTAAAATTGACGAGTCACATAGCACTCACCAGTCACCACAAATACACAGAAAATGAAATGATAAAAGTACTGATGTTTCGTTTACCCAATCAAGATTCAAGACTTGAAATAAAGCATGGGATGCGAGCATGACGTGTCGCTCTCTCCTGCTTAGTAATACAATCAATTACTCCTCTTTCAATCAAATTCGTAAAACCTTCGTGACCCTACTAGTTCTGTGTACATATTCTTCTTCAGTTACACTCTGATCTTGTTGACAGAGGGTCAGATCATGAAAATTTCTGTTTTCAGAACATCTACTTTTTAATTGTTGCAGTAACTTACTTACAAAATCTTAGGTTATTTCAAAAGGAAAATGTTACTATTCAGCCGCAGGAAAGAGAAATTATCTGCCGAAGTCACATGTTTTTTTTTTTCAAAATAAGATTCTATATCCCGAAAAGAGATAACTCTTAATAGAACCCTAATTCAAAAGGTACATATAAGATAAGGTTTTCTATAATATTGCAGCAACGTAACCTAGGTAGTGGTCATCAAGGTGAAAATCAAAGTCGTTGAAAAGAGAAACAAGACAAGCAAAGAACATGGTAATTTGGTGGAACTTGAATTTGCATAAGCGCCACTTCCCCTGCCTCCGGTCGTTGATGAAACAGTATTTGATCCGATCCCTATTCCACAAAAAAAAAAAAAAAAACCCTCAAATTGCAGACTTATTTCAAGGGTCGTAAAAGACAATAAAATAAATTTGGCATAAATTCTTAAATCTTGTCACATTAGCTATGTATGATATTTGTCAGAGAAATACATAAAATCATCAATGTAATATCATTTATCAGCTTAAGTTTTTGGGTTTAATTGATATTTGATATGATATTAGAGTTTCGGTATCACAGGTTTTATTCACTCTCCATTTAATTAATAAATAATTAAATTTTGTGAAATTTCTTGACACAAATAAGTCGACATATTTTGAAGCTCGGGTGGGCTTTCGTGTGTGAAATGGTATATTAGAAATATATAAAATGGTAGGCTCACTGGTATTTTTGTTTGGTACCTGAAGGGGAATATGGAATGTTGGAGACAGGAACACTTGTTGGAGAAGAAGCATAGCCTGAAATCACAATAAAGAATTAAGGTTTTCACATCTATCAGTAACATATTTCATTGTGAAATATTTTTCAGGAATAAATATAACTCATACGGCTGCAGGTGCTAATAGGAGGTGTCTGGACTCGGCAAGCGTTGGGAAGTGACAAAGCCCGAGTCTGATTGATGTTGAGACTGGCAGCAACAGATGACTCACCACCGTTAACAACCTCGCATAGGCACTGTGGCTGTGACTTCACCACAAAGGAAAGTTGCAAGCAGCAACCAGAGGATGGGGTGGAGGTCTTTCCTGTTAAGTAGTCAAGGCAGGGATAGAGACTTATGAACTCATTGGTGCAACTTGATTGAGATTGAGCCACTGTGACACCCCAAAGAGCCACCACAAGAGACATGCTCAGCAGCATCTCATTCCTTCTGGGTGCCATCATATGCTATCAGATATTCTGCCAGGAATGTTGGTAAATCAAATGCCAATATTTAGGTGCAGAATTGATGGGTTTCTTTGGTTTATTAGAGTTGGGAAAGTCACAAGAGAATGGCTTATAGTGACAAAAAGAAAAAAGTGTGAATTAAAGAGTGGCACTGTGGCAGGGTGACTAGCTTATGCATGTGAACAACTTTTTTGCTTTATATATAACAGATTCTTTGTTTAGAATCTAGCTGGGACTTTACAAATTTATTTTAATAAAGTTGTCTTATGTGTCCTTCTATGGTTCTTTTCTTTTCCGCATTGCTCTTTCGATATGTTCTTTGAGTAATATTGCTGGAATAGAAAGCACCTGAATGACTATTATTGCATCATCTTTTCATGATGCCTTTTACTTTGAGTTGATTTTTGTAATCAAACTAGTGTGCATATGCAACTTTCATGCTTTTTCCTTTTTCTTGATAAATTGTGTTTCATGCTTTTAGTACAACAATTATGATGCTTATTGGAGTGGGCTAATTAAAGGGAATTAAAACTTTAAAGCATGGAATAATAACAATAACAAATGCTTAAACGAGAAGGCAGGTTATAGGCATGCCCAATCCAACATGGGATATTTTATTTTATTTTAACTTTTCGATTTTCCTATTCCCAAAATTTATACAAATCACGCCAAAGAATAGAAGGAAAAGATTTATCAGTCTATCACTCTCGCATTAGAATCTGACAGTGTAAACTTCAAATTTGGAGGACAACGCATGATACTAGAAAAATAATAATGGTGCATGGAGGAGATTGAATTTTACCAGATTATTGCCTAAAAGAGACATATAGACAGGTTCCAATGGATGACCAACTTTTTACTCATTTTGAGTTCTTTGGAAAAATCGAGTTTGGACTTTCAATAACTTTTTGTTATTTTAGGAGATGTAAATTTCTTGATACTGTAGCAGTAATGTCCAAGTGATTCAATGGTAATTTAGGTCGGGAAGTTGTGACTTAGGGTGGTAATCAAAAGACAGAGGTCCTTAACTCTTCAACTACCAAGATTGCACGTCTAGTTGATTCATTCCTATTGTTGCTTAGTGGCCGCCATTTTTTAAAGGGTCTTATGATCTTATCACTTATTACTGATCTAACAAAAACTCTCTAGCATTTACATCCATCCCTTGTTGAGATATATAAAAAATCATTAATGTAGCCTTACTCGTTGAATTGGTTCATTATGTGGTATCGGAGCCTCGGTATAAGGGTTCGATGATCACTGCTCCCACTTTCTTTCAAGTGGAATTTCTTTCTTCGCGCACAGGTAGGTGGGTCTGTGCACTGTCCACCCTTCAAGTCCAGTGAGCTCTCGTGTGAGAGGGCGTGTTGTAAAACCATTAATGTAGCTTCACCTAATAGCTTAAACTTTTGGGTTGAATTGGTTCTTTACAATTCTTTAAAAAATAAAATTATACAAAATCACACAAAAATTGATTAGATGATAACTTCAACATGTTTTTCTTTCATCCTGAGGTGATAATACGTATATTACTCTTGGTTAAATAGGAACATGATCCGTTTACAAACTTTTTTTGCAATTACACTAATGTAGGACCGGTCGTACACTGTGTGATTAATGTAGGACCGGTCCTACATAGTGTAGTTTGTAAATAAAAAAGTTTGTAAATATAACCTGCCCCGGTTAAATATTGAGGTTTCTACTCTCGAGTTTTCTTAATTTTGATGTTGAAAAATTGTCTATGAAATTGGTGAAAATAGAGTTGGTTGATCCTATAGTCAAGTTTACGTGTGACCAACACTCAAATTTCAACAAAAGTTATGTGGGTTTTGCCTCAATTTTGTCCAGTATGACCTACATGACGTTCTAGAGTAGACTTTTTAGCATGTATACCTTTTCTTTGCAGCCCTTTGATTCCTTCAACTTCTTTTTGCGGAGAAAGGAACAACTTGAATTATTGAGCAAGCTTCCCTTGCTGGATGAACTAGGTCCTTACAATAGAAAGATTTATCCTTTCAAACTATTAACATATCATTCATCATTGTGGTTTGTGAAAATTTTCAGTGTTACCATCTGATCATGATCTGCACCTAGTTATGCATTATTTTTTAAAAGCTTCATTCTAATAAACGTTATCAACTTTCACAAATATTAAAAGCTTCATTCTAGTAAACCATACCAAACTATAGGTCTGTAACAATAACTGGGGGTAATTAACAGGAAGATTCTTCCATTGGAAATATTAGTTAAGGTAGTTGAACTCCTTTATCATATTCAAATCTACCTGTTCTCTTCTCCATAATATTGTTCAACTATTACAGTATATAAATCATTCCTTATCATTAAACAAACATAGATCCTGCTTTTACAAATCAATCTTCTTCCATCCAAGACATCCTTTTGCTCCTCATGGAACAGCTCAGTGCTTTTCAAATGACAATGATACTAGCAGCCCTTATAGTGGCTTCACTAAATTTGGTTAATGGGCAAATTAGTACACCCTGCACAACCTCTATGATCAGCAGTTTCACTCCATGCGCCAATTACATTACAGGAAGCACTAACAATGGTTTAATACCATCATCTACGTGTTGTGATTCATTAAGGTCTTTGACAAGCACTAGTACGGATTGTGCTTGCCTGGTAATATCAGCCAATGCTCCATTTTTCAACCTACCCATTAACCAAGCTCTTGCCGTCTCCCTTTCACAAGCATGCAACATTAATAATGGAGTCCCTTTGCAGTGCAAAGGTGCAAATTCAATTCATGTTCCATTGCATCTAAATACTTATACATTTTGACAAACTTTAGTTTTCCCATTTTCTTTTCCTAATAAAAAAATTAGATTTATAATGATAATTTCTTTTTGTGCATTACAGCTTCTGCTTCTCCTTTACCAGCTCCGGGTATTGATTACTTAACTGCTTTTGTATTTTCAATTTTATTATTCAGTCCAAGAGTTTTTTTTTTTCCTCTTACTGTTTATATTCTTGATGATGGTTAAAATCCCATAACATTATCTTTTGGTGATCATTTTTTTTTTATTTGAAAGCTTTTCCTTCTTCAAAAAATAAAATATGCTGAAGCTGGTTATTTTATTGGCAGGCCCAGCAGATCTTGGATCAAACGGCCCAAGTCTTCCTCCATTTTCTGCATCTCCCGTAAGCCTACAACAAGGTAGTATAATTAATGTACCTAAAAGTTTTAAAATATTTGGGCTTAGTTAATTCCAGACAGGGATACTGGGATACAATTGTCGAAAAAGAAATAAAATAAATGAATCTAGTAAGTTAAAATATGAAAACATTATTTGCACATAAAAAAATTGATATAATTATAACAATTTATTTAATTTTTAGACTGTTAGCTTTTACATAAGAATTTATTCATTGACCACCCCTTGTTCGTTAAGAGATTAATTTTTCTTTTTCTTGGTATGAAAGTGGTGCAAGGAAATAATAACTGTTTAAAACTTGAAAAAGTAATGAACTTTTTTTTTCCTTTCTCTCACTGCAAGAGATATAAATCCTAAAATATGTACTAATTGTTACTGGGTATTGATGTAAACTTGGGCAGTTTCAAAAACCAAGGTTGTAGCTGAAGCATACAAATTTGAGAATATGCAATTGGCACGGGCACTGGCACCAGCATCACCACTAGTGGAAGCAGAAGCACCCACTAAAACTCCAAGAATCCGACCAGTTTTGACTCCAAGTTCTTCGGCATCTCATCCATCTTATGTTTCCTTGTCACCTTTTGCATCCATAGTCATGGGAATCATGGTTTTTGGCATCTATTAAATTGTTAATGTACAACTGCATACACGAAACTTAACCTACACCGGTTGCTTTGTCTTTGTATAAGTTTCTGCCTTCTGAGATACACATACATATATATATTGTTTTCTTTTTTTCTTTCTATAGTGGTTTTATGGACCTGTCGCTATTCATAAATGTTTGATCATGACTGAATTTAATGCACAAGCATTTAGTATGGGGCTACTTTGCATTTCTCAGCTTGAAGAAAAGTTAAACGTGATGTGTCTCAATAATAAGGACGTGTTTGGATGGGCTTTTTCTTCTTCAAAAGTTGCTTTTTTTAAGAAAAAAAGCACTTTTCAAAATAAGTCTATTTGGATACATGCTTTTAAAAAAAGCAGAAGTCGTAAAAAAAGTCAAAAACCTGTTTTTTTCAGAAGCTAAAAATTTTAGCTTCTAAAAAAAAACAGAAGTTAAAAGCCAAATTATTTTTTAAAAAATCAAAAATATTTTTTAAAAATCTAAATAGCTATAACTTTTATAGAAAGTGCTTTTAAAATAAGGAAGTCATAAAAAAGACTTTTTTGACAAACCAATACAAATCAGCTCTAAAAGTGTTAATAGGTCAATTTTGACGCAAGTTAAAGGAATTTGTATAGGGAGGATAATCTCAGCGGCCCAAGCGAATAGCCGAATAGTAGTTTTAATAATCTCACGTTCAAAAGGTGTCAAAACCATGGTAAATGACATAAAAATAAAAAATAAAAAATTGCCATGACATAATTTTTTTTTTTTTTTTTGAAATATTCCAACCGGTTCATCATTTCGCGACTAGTCCAATGTGGGGCAGGTCCAGAATTAAGACTTTAAATTTCTCAGTAACAAGTGATAATTGTATTGAGGTGCTCAACTTTAATATTATTAATTCATTAAAAAGTTTTCCCGACATTAACTTCCGGTCAAACTTGTTTAGGGAATCCAATTTAAGAAAATATTTTCAGTACTAAGAGAGTACCGAAAACTCGGTGCATCATTTGCTTAATTTGGAAAAAATAATATATATTTTTTAACTAAGCAAAGAAACTTGAGTGATAATTCAAAATTAACTCCTTATACATTTCTTATATTATATAACTTAATTATAGAGACAAATCATTTACTTAAAATAAATAATTATAGCGACAAATGCATAACTTAACTTAAAATATTTATTAGCTTTTTTAACGCAATTTATATTTTATTAATTTTTATATATTCATTTGTATACTATCTTTTACAAGAATATAATTGAATAAGTTTGATTTAATTTATTTTATATAAAAAACATATATAATTTTTTTTTCACTTTAAGCTTATTCAAAATGAAACAAGCTACACAAAGTTGAAATGTTTCTATATTTAATAAGGTGTCCTTAAAATTTTTTAAAGTGAAATTAATAAGTCTCAATTAAAATAAAAATCAAACTAAAAAATCAAACATTCTAAAATATGTAGTAAATATTTATTTATTAAATGAAAAACTCATTTATATGTACAAATTTAAAACTACTTATATTACGCACGAGTAAGATTATTAATTTTATTTTAATCATATGTGAGTGAATTTACTTTAAATAATGTATATTAAAACTTTTATAAAAAATAATTTTAGTACATTAAAAAAAGAAAAAAATATTTGTCATTTTAAATGACATAACACTCTGTCCTTTTAAGAGAGAGACAGACACAGAAAACAAAATTATTTAAATTTTAAATTCTCCCATGATTTCTATTTTTCTATATCTATCTCTCTCCTAAAATGACATAACTTACATCGTTTAAAATAACAAACACTAACAAAATTAATTAATTCTAAATCAACAAATCCAAACATTTAATTATTCGTACTTACAAACTCGCGTATGTTGTGGGCATGTTGGTTCGCCTTCTCTCACCGAGCAATACCCGACAATGCTTTCTACCACCAGCGCTTAACAAAAGTCATCTAAGAGCTTGTTTCAGATATCAAGGTAACTGGGTTTCACTTCTTTTTTTGTTGTTGTTGCAATTGCATAACATTAGTATTTATGTTTCTGTATCTGTTTATGAAGTGAATGGTCTCGAAGTTGTTTATTTTTTAGGCTCACACAGACTAGTGACTGTAATCTGCTTGATAAAATGCCTAAACAAAGAAAACAATGTTTTTTATTTATTTATTGTAATCTGTTTATTGTTTTAACTTGATGCTGGTGATTATGATTAGGCAGCAAAGCTAAGAGTGAGGCTGAGGATATCAAGTGCTCTTTCTTACAATCATCTCAATGCTGACGACAAAATTCTTATACTGGTGAGACACAAATTCATAGTTTTTGCCCACTTGTTAGCGAACCAGTGGGACATGCTAATTGGTTTCTGGGATTTTGATGAACTTATTTATACTTTCTGATGCTGAAAGTATGCGTTGCGTAAGTTCTTATGTTAAGTTTCAAACTTTAATGGGGGTTTCTGGTATTGGTGATGAACTTATTTCTATGGAAAATCTGAACGGTCAGAAGTTGCTTGAAGTTGCTGAAATCCACTCCAAATTTTTAACTTTTCACCTCCGTTTTATCATTCCTTAGCATGCTTAATAATGTGGGCTAATATTTTCATTTCCTATCTAATGGAAACCCTTTTCACTCTGCTTAAACCCCCCTCCCCCAGGATTATTTTAGTGATAGGTTCTATAGGAACTGGACAATCGTATTAGGTCAAAATGTTTGTAGTTTGTGACAGTGACGATATCATTCTTTAGCATGTGCCTCTGTCTTCAATTTTTTTTTTCTATTAGATTTTTTTTTTCAGTTCTTTGTAGTTTGTGAAGGATACTGAAGGAATGATGCCAAAGCATAGTTTTCATGTTTCTGTGTTACAAGTTAGTTGTAATTAAAATAAGGAAAGGTTCACTTTGGCCAATATAATTAGTTTGTCTTTTTGGAAAAGTTTTATCAACCTACAAATGAAATTATTCAGAATCTTTCAATTTTAAATTTAAGTTTATTTTTGGTTGTCTCATGAATTCATGCCGATGCTTGGTGTTTAATTTGGACATAAAACCTCCTCTTGTGTTTGTTTTTACCAGACCCCTCTTGTGAACCTTCTACTTTTAATAATGGTCATTCGTCTTTGTTAGCATAATAACTAACCTATTTGTACTGTAAATGTAATAGCATAAAATTTGTTATGTATGTTGTTTACCAACAGACACTATTAACCTACAGGTTTTGATGGACTTCATTCTGAAATTCACCTTCGCGATTAGTTCAAGATGCTTGCAATAAGACAGCTCAAAAGAGGACCAGATCTCCCTTTTGTCTTGTGTTTCATGGTTGCTAATTGCAACTATGGCACAGCTCAAGTTTTCAATAACAGAAGTCACCAATCTATTGTTAAGTCTGTTGGCCCTTATTTATCTAACTCAAGTTTACAAGCATTTCTTCTGGGACTAGAGGATCGATTCACCCTTCAAGGACTATGTTTCTCAACTATGGCTGAAAGAATCCTGGTCCAGGCTAAAGACCCAGCCAAAGTTAGTATGGAAATAGAAAATGGTATCGATGGGAATCAATTAGATTATTCATGGAAGTTATTTGAGCAGCATTTACACATGGAGGGATTTCCCAGAAAATCTGTCGTCAACAAGCTTGTAACAAGTTATGTGGATAGTCTTGATGTACAATGGTTAGGAAAAGCTTATGAATTGGTAGAACATGCTATTGTTGAAGGTAAACAAGACTTGTTAGAAAAGGAGGTGCTTATCTACCTTAGCTTTGGCCTTGCGAAAGCCAGACTACCGGTTCCTGCATCAACCATTTTAAGAAAGATGATAGATATGGAGCATTTTCCCCCAGTCACTGCTTGGTCTGCAGTTTTGGCCCACATGTCACAAACAGCAGATGGAAGTTACCTTGCTGCTGAGTTGATTCTTGAAATAGGTTATTTGTTTCAAAACAATAGAGTGGATCCGCGTAAAAAGAGCAATGCACCTTTGATAGCCATGAAGCCAAACACGGCTGCTTTTAACATTGCTTTGGCAGGTTGTCTTTTATTTGAGACAACTAGGAAGGCAGAGCAACTTCTTGATATGATGCCTCGAATTGGTGTCAAAGCTGATGCAAACTTACTGATAATAATGGCACGTGTATATGAGAGAAATGGGCGAAGAGAAGAGCTTAAGAAGCTGCAAAGGCACATAGAAGACGCTCCAAATCTAACTGATATACAGATCCGTCAGTTCTATAATTGTCTTCTCACATGCCATTTGAAATTTGGGGATCTAGATTCTGCATCAAGCATGGTTTTGGAAATGCTTAGGAAAGCAAAGGAAGCAAGAAATTCTCTTGCAGCAGCCAAATTTATGATTGGTGCAGCTGAAATTGATCATAACTATTATCCTGGACCGGATTCCGTACATAGTTTGAGCAGCAGCAAAGATTCAGATAGTTTAGAAAATAACAAGCCAATAAAAAATGCTGTCTTATCTTATGAGGAGTTCTCTAAAGATCGAAATTTCTTAAAACTTGAAGCAGAGTCTAATGCTGCTCTTGGTTCTTTATTAGCTAAGTTGCAGATGCAGGTTGACTTGATTACCACCAAACATGGTATACTGCAACCAACTGAAACAATTTATGTGAAATTAGTTAAAGCTTTTCTAGAGGCTGGCAAGACCAAGGATTTGGCAGTGTTTCTTCTCAAGGCAGAAAGAGAAGATTCCCCATTTTCCAATGACAATTCTGCTTTGGTTCATGTTATTAATTCGTGCATTTCATTTGGATGGTTGGATCAAGCACATGATCTCCTTGATGAGATGCGTCTTGCTGGAGTTAGAACTGGTTCATCTGTATATGCCTCTCTTTTGAAAGCATATTGTCGAGCTAATAGGGCTGCAGATGTCACTTCACTTTTGAGAGACGCTAGGAAGGCTGGTATACAGCTTGACTCAAGCTCTTATGAGGCAATGATCCAATCCAGGGTGCTCCAGCAAGATACACAGGGAGCACTCCAACTATTTACAGAGATGAAAGAGGCTAGGATTCCAAAACTCAGTCAACAAGACTATGGCATGATGGCTAAAAGTGGTCCAGAGACAGATGAAGCTGGGCTGATGGCAAAGCTGTTGCAGGAAATCAAGGAAGGACAGAGTGTGGATCATGGAGTTCATGACTGGAATAACGTAATCCACTTTTTTTGTAAGAAGAGACTGATGCAAGATGCAGAAAAGGCTCTAAAGAAGATGAGAAGCTTAGGCCACTCACCAAATGCACAAACTTTCCATTCTATGGTCACTGGGTATGCTGCCATTGGAGGGAAATATCTGGAAGTAACAGAGCTGTGGGGTGAGATGAAATCTCTTGCTTCTTCAATCTCCATGAAGTTTGATCAGGAACTTCTCGATTCTGTGCTATATACATTTGTGAGGGGTGGATTCTTCATTCGAGCCAATGAAGTTGTGGTGATGATGGAAAAAGGAAATATGTTTGTTGACAAATACAAGTACCGAATGCTATTCTTAAAATATCATAAGACACTTTACAAAGGCAAGGCTCCGAAATTTCAGACAGAATCCCAAATAAACAAAAGGGAAGCAGCCCTGGCTTTTAAAAGGTGGATAGGCTTGACTTGAGAAAGTTTCAGCCAAGTATTAGCTCTTTCAAATTTCAAGCCATCATCTTCTTTACTTTGGGCTGTTGAATTTCTATTTTCTCTCCTTTTCTCATTTAGATTTATAGAGTAAACACTAATGTACTACCAACGTACACAAAACAATACATTGTTTTATGTAAAATATTCGATTAGGTTCTAGATCTTCAGTACTATTATTTTTAGGTAACAAATAGAAGACTGTGTCCTATACACCACATAACGGGTGTGAATTAATGTTGGCGAAACACATGCACGCACGGGGGTGAAACACGTTGTTGATGGACGATGACGTATTTTGTCAATGGGTGAAACAATTTCTACAGAGAACGTTGTTATTTACGAAGTCTGAGACACAAGGGTAACGGCATAAACAAAGAAATCGTAGTACGTACAGGGCTCAGCAATTCACCATAAAAACAAGAGGTTCTGCATGCACGAGAATGCATCGAACAATGGGCCATAGAAAAGTAAATGAGCAGTAATCTTGCGTCAACCATGATATCACTCATTATCATGCACTCAATCCAACCAGTCAATCCTCAGAGAATTGTACCTTTTTTTTTTTTTAATAAGCGGGTGAAGGGTAAGGGAATAAAAAATGGGGTGTCGGTGTTCTATAAAAAACCAAGCATGTCTCCTATTCTCGTGAGATAATACGGTGTACTGTTATGGTAAGGCCTCGTCTACCGTGAATTGGGGTTTAATTTGTCATGAATGACTACACAAATGTGTCATAAACCATGACCACCAAAAGCCGAAGGCCCTATTAATAGTCCAAAATGATTCAATTGAAACTCAGAAGTCATTAGTTCTCATTCTGGCCAAGACACCTCGTTTATTGAACCAAAACAAGCACAGATTTCGGACATATTTTAAATACTGAATAAATCTTTGGTACTACTATTTGTATTTAGATTCAGTGTATCTTATCAATGAGAGCATTACACATCAAAGAAGAAAAAAAAATTTGACAGAAAAAAGAAAAAATTAACTGACATGTAATATTTTTATTAGTGGGATGCACTGAATCTTTGGTACAACAATAGTACCAAAGAATTATTTGTATATAGGCATATCACGTCAGAGTATTAGAGTATTAGAGTATTAGGCCTGTTTGATTGTGTTTTGATTTTTTTGTTCTTAAAACTATTTTGTAGAATAATTAAGGAAACAATTGTTTTCTATGTTTTTTTTTGTTTTGAAAGTTAAAAATCAAAAAAGAAAACAAAAACAACTCAGACATATTCTTTAAATTTGATTCTAAAAACAAAAAAATAGTTACATTTTTTTAAAAAAAATTTACAAAACAAATCTTACCAAACGAGTTTTTTTATTTTTTTGTTCTGAAAACTAAAAAACTGTTTTTAAAAAACAGTAATCAAACAAAGCCTAATCATCCAATTTTGTATAGATTTTTTTTTTTTTTTTTTGGAAAATAATATAGATGTATTTTTTAAGTTAACGTTTATCAATATTAATTCTTCTCACCTCTTAAGCTCACAATATTGAGAACCAAGGAAATCAATCTTTCACCTCTCAAGATTTTATTTAAGTAAAATTAATCTTGCTCTTTGATATGTATATATATATATATATATATATATATATATATATATATATATATATATATTGCTATCCTCCATATTTTGCATATGAAGGATATAATGTGAAAGTCTTCACATTTTATTTTTGTATAAAAATACAAATGCTTTTATTAAATAATAAATTTAAAATATATTTAAGTAATTTAAGATTATTAACTTTAATTAAGAAAGAGAATGGTGGAGGTTAACTTTGATGAAGAAAGAGAATACTTAAAATTTAGTTTTAATGAAAAAAATAATTTTGTAATTATTAATTTCAAAGTATTGAATTATATATTGACATGTGTTAAATATTTAGTATATGAATGTATGTATCACATAAAAATAAAAGGATAAAAATACAGCATAAAAAAATTAAAAAAATAATCTTCAAGCAAACAAATTTAACATGTTGTATATAAATAGAGGGGAAAATGTTTATTATTTATTTATTATTAAAATAAATAAAATATTTATATTTCATAAAATCTCCTTTAACTTTGTATGTTAACAAAATTTTCATTTTTATAAATAATTAAATTTTTTAAATAAGAATAGTCAAAAAAAATTCATCATTAAAACTAGTACGTTCTTTTTTATTTAAAAACTTTTATCATTATTTTTTTTAATTTTATAATTTTAAATTGGTAACATATTCTCAAGATTAAATTTTTTTATAACAAAATATTATCTTTTTGTTTAAAACATAATCTGAATATTTCTATCTTCGTATAAAGGTTAGAAATGATTGTTACTCAAAAACTTAGAAAGAGTCATTGATGGAATGGAGAAAAAAAAAGTACTAAATTTTATGATGAGATTGTGTAAATTTTTTGGGAAACTTTTTCGATATATACATCTTTATTATATACTTAATTAACACCATCATATTTGATTTTGTACACAAAATTGTTATCCAAACGAAGGACAAAGAAATTGAAAACAAAAAATAATTAAAATTTAATTGTGAAGGGAATATTATCTTTAAAACGATTGACACTTTGACGCATTTCAAACCTAATAAACTTTTCGGCCCTTGTGCCAGATTTAAGCGTGCCTCAATAATGTCATAATTCTGTCTGCAAAATGTGTCTGTCTCTGTGTGAAACTTCACCTATATTTACATTAATTTTTTAACAAATTATTTTAATGAATAATTCTTTCAAAATCAATTATTCCAAAATCATAATAAAATGACTCCTATATAAATGCTGGTTATTAAATGAGCATAGCACAAAAAAATTATCAATTTGAAACTCAAAAATCAAGATACATCTAAAGAGGCCACAAATTATTTTTGATGTAAAAAATTATTTATATAACATTATTCTTTTTTGCTAACGTGTGAATTGAACGTGTTCTTTTAAGAATAAACAATGACTGAAAATGAATTGATGTTGATCAAAGAATCATGCCCGAATCAGAATGAAACAAAAGTTAAAAAGGGGGTCAAATGATGGAATTGGGTACTATAAATAACGACTCACTGGTAAAAGCCAACAAAGCAGGGTACGTTGTGTGTATTTCCTTTTTCCTTTTAGTTGCAACTTTCATCTTATTCAGAAAAAAGAAAAAAAAAACAATACATTGCAAACACCAATGTTAATTTTATTCATTAGCTTCAATGATTCTCATTAAAATCAATAGCTACTACAAGAAAAATAATAGGATGGTTACATTGAGTGCACATATTTCATTGGTTTATTTCAGTTGTGTCAAAGAATAAGTCAAACACCTTGAGTTGAGAGTCTCTCACTCGAAGCTGACAAAGTTCAAAATTTCAAATCCTGCAAAAATCACAAAGGCAATAAAATTAATTTTCTCTAGTGATGAAGTAAAACTACTAGTTAATTTTAATTATATTATCTTATTAATGCTAATTGAGATGCTATTTTTTTTTTAACTCGCATAGCCATTATTCTATCAATAAGATTGTGAGCTGCAAATATCCTTAAGTTAGTAGTTGTTGGTAAACTCATAAACTATGCAGCTGCATCAATGAGGTATGGAGAAGGTTTAGCAGTTTTAGAAAGAAAAATTACAGAGAAGCTGAGAAAAGGAAAGAGGGAAAAGGACAACCTTCTTTGGGATTACGAGGGTAACAGAATGTCTCAATCACCATTTGGACTAACATTCCTCACAGCAGTGCCTACCTAACAAGAGAGGGCCCAAGTCAAGGATAAGGATAAGGCTTGGATGACATCTCAACTACATGGTGAAATCCATTACTATCAAAAAATCTAGGAAATACTTATTTCATGAACTTATGCAGACTCAAATGAAGAGCCAAGAACTGACAATATAAGTACTTATATTCCATGAAATGGATGTTATGGTCTGCAATGTCTGACTCGTTTGGTGAAGGTATGTAATAAAGTATAGCTAGACCATTAAGCATATGCTTATTTATCAATTACCTGATTTTGAAGACAAAAGCCAGTTAGAAGTCCTGAGCATATTGGATCTTGTCCTTCACTGAAATTAAATCATAGGAAAACCAATTAATAGCAAAGCTTAGTCTGTTTTTTCATAAGCCAAACTCAAATGGACGTCTAAGCAAGATAGAAAATATTGATAGAATTTTCCTGTTGAATTGAGGTGAATTACCTTGGGTGGAACACTTTGCTGCTTCAGTTCCCTCAATTAGTCAAGTTGATCTCATGGAATAAAGAATGGTAGGCATTCATCAATATAAATTCAAATCAGTGTAGCCATAACCATGTGAATGTGGCAACAACTCTTCTACTTCAATCCTGGAACTGGGGCAATGGGAGCTTTTTTTTATTTGGTTACGGCTGATAGACTCAACTTCTGCCAAGAATATCCCATAAACTGGCCGGTGATCAGAGAATCTTGACTCCCCACGAACATAAGATAATTGGTGGAGGCCTCTTCCATACCACAAGATACGATCACACCTTCATGAATAAAGATTGTAATTAGATTTACATAAATAATAATATAGTTTCAAAATAAAGACACAACATTTCTTTTCAATTTAAATGTGCCACTTCATTGATTCATACAGGAGGTTATTTCCAAGAAAGAAGACTACCATGCTGGGGTTCTTCTCTTTTGTTTGGAGTGTCTTTCATCACCTGCATATCTGTCTGAATTGTTTGAATACTTATATGTGGGAGGGAAATATATTTTCCCTTCATTCCATCCTTCAAAGACTCGACCTTGCCTCTTCTCTATGCACAGCTGAAAGAAAAAGCTATCAAATGGTCAGGTAAATCACAAAAATAATATGAGGGAGGAGCAAAGCTCTATCATAATTGCTTGTAATGGGACAAAGCAACATGCCTGGTCATTCTCTAATAAAGCCTTCCAATTATGCATCTCAACAAGAGCTTTTGTTGAACGGTAAGAAAGGGCTATTCGATAGTTTAAATCCCCCAGCCAAATAATTCGACTACACCAATTAAACAAAAAGTTTAGTTCTTAACTAGGATACAAGTTAGGACTTAGTTGTGAATTTTATTTAGATTCACAATCTCCAAGTATCAGATGCATGGTATAGATTAGGAGTAGAGATGAGGGGGTTACTCATGTTCCAGAATTGTCTGAGGAGAATTCTCATCACACATGTCATGGACCTTGGGAAACCTTGTTTTTCTGAGAATCTCCATCACATCTGAATTTCTCCTTAGCTCATCACCGTCCTTTTGTCCAGAAGTCAAATGACTACAGATGAAGCAAAAGCTTGTTTGGTGTAATGACATGCTAATCGATATTGAACCCTGGAAAATCCAATAGAATGAGATTGTTCCTCCCCTAATTCCTTATAAACTCTACTTTTAAAGTAAATTACCAAATGTACCTTGTTTCCAAGATATCCCATCAACCCTCTGCCAACACAAGACACTTTCATGTTGTGAACATCATCTCTGATATCACTTTTCACCCAAACTGTTAAAAATATCCCAACCATTTGCTTACTAGCAACCAAACAGTATCTTGAGTGTCCTGCCTGTCTATCACTGTCCTCCATAGAGAAACAACCACTATATGACTGTGGTGAATATTGTTTTGTAATTGGGGAGTCACCAGTTCCATTTTCATCGTCTAAGGAGAATCGATAATTGGGGTCATAGTCACTTGTCCTGTGACCAAATATCATTCTATCACAGACACTGAGACCGCGATCAAAGCGAGCTTGTGGCAGTGACATGTCATTATCCATTCTCATACTACAACTCAAGGATTGCAAGGACCTGCGATGGAAGAAAGAGGTAGCCTTCTGCCTCATTGATGCTTCAAAATCAGCATCTAGCTCTACAATAGGATCAGGGATTGGCGAAGGAGTATGGCTACCACCACTTGTTCCAGGAAGGCTGTTCAAGGTCTCCCTAATAAGGCCTAGCCATTTTCTCGCAGGACCATTATCTTCTGTTCCAAGAACGTTACCAGCATTAAGAGGCACAATTTCTTGAAACCTGAGTCCAAGAAAATGCAAAACAATCATCCACGCGAACTTTTGCATATTTAAAGGAGATAACACTATCATATATTCAGTAATTTACCCAAGAACATAGATATCAGCAGGTGGAGAGGTGTGAAGCCAATCTTCAAGACTCAAATAACTTGGAGGTGACTTCCCTGCTACATTCCAAGTGGCAACAAAGATTCTGCATCCAGAATGAAGAAAGAACTCAATAGAAATTTTTTTTTTTAAAGTTCATTATAATGGTAACATAGCAACATGAAGCATACCTATAATTATACACGTCTGTAACCTGAGCTTCATCAAGGTCATTCTTAACTCTTCGCATTCTGTCTAAGTACCTTCTGCTTGATCTCTCTATGCATTCAAAATGGAGATTAAACATCTGGGATTAGTAGGCAACAAAAGAATGGGATAGAAAAAAAAAGACAATAAAAACAAAAGATTTCTGAAATTGCTGAGCACAAATTGTATCAATATCAAGTTGTAGGGTTTGGGAACGGTGTGGTCCTAAAAATATAAAGGTGGTGATACTGAACCTGTTTTGCTTTTCTTCCCAGTGCATGCCTCCCTCTCTGAATAGTTGCTCCTACACTCTTCATCAACACCTGACAAAGGAAAAACATAAAGTTAATAAAGCCGTGCTCTTTCCACTGTTAATTTATCATTCCACTCAATCAAACAGAACAAAATAAAACAGACGTATTTTTTGTATCAAAAGTGTAGAAACCATGGAAGCAGAAAAACAACAAAGGACAGATTTTGTGCTGCAAGTAGCATACCCAATTGAAACAAAAAATTTAAAATAAAAAATAAAAAACTGTTACGCAAAGATAAACGAGTGGGAGGAGTAGAAGGAAAGAAAAAAAAAAAACAAAGAAAATTTGGTTGAACTAGAGGCAGGAGAAATGTCATAGTTGTTCTTCACATGAAAGCTAAGATTTTTAGGACCCAGATTACATTAAAATAATGCGCAAAAATGATCAATCACCTCCGTAAAGGACACCATCTGCTTGAAAGTCTTCGGCTTTGCTCTTGATATTGAACCACTTCTTGACCAATGATTTGGGCCAGGAAATCTTCACCAAGGAAAAAACAGGGTAAGCAATGCCAATCACAGAACACAAATGCAAATGAAATTTGAAGGAAGCTGGCATTTCTCAAACCTTGCTTTTCTTGGAGTTATCATCTCTCATTGTTGGGACAACTTCATATAGCTTTCTGTATTTACACAAGCAAAAGTTTTTAAAATCAATATATATATTACTTCTTCAATGAATGCTCCTTGCTTTCTTGGGTTTTGCTCAAACAGTATAAGACAATTTTATATCTCAGGACATGAACAATATTAATTTCTGTTCAATTCCCGGTTTTGTTTATCTCTCCATTCAAAGAGATGATAACAAGGAGAGAGAGAGAGAGAGAAAAATGGTTTTGATGATCAAATGAGTGGGATGAAGTGCTAACCCAGTTGGTCATTCCCCCATTTCTTTCACTTCCACTTGTGAAGTTTCAAACTTTCAGGTCAGAGAGGATGAAGTAATGAGGAAATAATAAAAGGGAACAAGTACAAAGTTGCAGCTTGATACGTATGTAGAACTAAGAGTTCGTGACTATGAGATAGAAGAAGACAATGTAGAAGACATGAAGAGAGAGAGAGAGAGAAAGTTCCTCTCTTGCAAAAAACCTCGTTGTGGGTACAGGCTAAAGCAGCGAATTTGAAGGGAATAAAGTGCAGGAAAGCTTCGCTCTCTCTCGAGGCCTTTTACCTCACCCACCCATGCTTCAGGATTTGGAGAGAGAAAGGGTTCAATGGTTATATTGGTAATGGTAACCCACTCACATCATTTGCAGCACACGCACGCACACTCTTGGACATTAAAAATTGAAGATTCTTCCATTTAACTTTAATCCTAAAATTTATACACTACTTAATTTTTAAATGAGATTTATTACTTTCATTTTATTGAGGAGAATAAATTTTCGGCCTGATTCATTGGAAGGGTTTGATTTTTCTTACGTTGTATGAGATAATTTGTCTAATGCAACAAAAAAAATTATGTAGAACACATTTTGAAGAAGAGAGAAAGAAAAAAGGGGAGTCACAATCATTTTTTTGTGTGTTACATGAGATAAATTATATCATGTAACATAATAAACTCATTTCCCAAAAATGAATCCATGAATCCACAAAATAATGAAGAGATAAAAAAATTCAACGTGGGGTCCATCAAATATTATGTATGTGATGTGAGAATGACAAACTCTTTATGTGGTGAAAGGAGAAAACAATTCCCTTTTTTAAATTTATAAAAACTCATATCAACCCATTAATTTTTCTTTCTTATTTTAATCTTTAAGAATGACTTCGTAGGTAAGAGTTTTATATATTTAGATGTTAACTTGTAGAACATAATTAGAACTTAATGATTAAATTATAAGGAAAGAATATTTTTAAAAATTAAATTGTTGATTTAGTAGCATTGGTAACCCTTCTTACATTTGGTCTTGTGGGAGAGAAAAGCAGTTAAAGAAGACAAAAGATAAAGAGGATGAGTAGAGGGTTGTTGTTCTTTTAACTTCTCTCCTTGTTTTAACAATGTCTTCGATGCAGACGACAAAAATCACTCATATTTTTTCCTTTGTCCATTGCTTGTTTTTTTTTTTGTTAATAAAACATCTTATAAGCATATGGGATGTTTGTCTAGTTGAAGAGAATGTTTCGTGTTTGGAGGAAAAGTGAAAAACTATTTCTGATTCCAAGGCCACTATTTGTAATTTGGACTTACATCAAAGCGTTTGATAAATTTGTCAGGAGTGATTTTTTATTTTATATAAATATATAAATGAGATGTTTTTGTTTTCTCTCATCATATATATTTGTGTCTTGGTTTGGTAGATTTGAAGAACTCATTCGTTCTACAAGCTACAAAACATTATGTCTCCTCAAAAAACTTCATTTATAGCTCTTTGCGTAGAACAATATATATTAGTATGCGAATGAACTTTGTTGTGTGAATCTTAGACTCATCATGTCCAAGAAGACAAAAGGCAATTTTCCCAAATGATGAATCTCAATCTCATATTGAGTACTTTTTCGTGCAAGCTCGCACTTGCACATGGTTTAGTGTATTATGCTTTGCACAAGGTGACGCGTCGTTCACTAAACTACATGTTTACATTTTTACGTTAAATGTAAGATCTTGTTCGGCCATTGAGAGTTCTTAACCCACATGATCTCCTTGATTTCTGTAAAACTATCTATAAAATCCTAAGTTCTCATTTTTTTTAATGACCTTCTGCATTTTGTAATCAATTAACTTGTAAGTTTTGATGTTCAAAACATGAACTTATTCAATTGGAGATCTTCAAGGAATCCTAGCATGTGGATGTCACTTGTACAAAAATACCCTACTTTACCAAATGGTGGTAATTCAGTTAGCGCATGGGAGCTAAGCAGGTGGGTGAAGCATGTGTTCTTCGAATCTCCTCAGTACCACCTTTGGGAGGGATTTAAAGCCTTAATACTGAATCCGCCCCGAATCAAATTAGTTACGAAATAATGAACCGATTGAAATATTTCTTAAAAAAAAAAAAAAAACCCTACTTTGCTAACTGCTTGTCACAGGATTAGACCTTGAGAGAAAATTATAGAGTGGGTGAAAGGAACAAGTGTTGAACGAGTTTCAATTTTGTCAATGATTATTAATAGATAGTGAGTTGCACGTATAGCTATTTAATTAAGCATATAAGATTCATCTATTATATGAGTTTGCTTAATTAATTATATGTAATATTAAAGAAAAATGCCCTTGTTTTTATTTCATGTAAGCTGTCTTAGGAATCATTCGCCGGACAATAGGAAAAACATTCTCGTTTGGGTCTCTTAATTCTTAAGAGCTTGATAATGCACAATGTTGGTTGAGAACCAATGTATCTGAATGTGGCAGGTGAAAGGTCACCATTGCATATATTTCATCCTTGTTTTTCCCTGTTCCCCTCATAATAGTGCCAATGATGCTTACAAGAAAGGCCAATATCAAAATTAAAGATGAATGGGCCCCATTCATGGAATGCATAACTAAAGGGGTAGGGTTTACCCTATACAATTTGAATCTTCTAATTGCATTGTGAAAGGTTGCTGCCTAGATACTACATTGTCAATAAGATTGGGATATGTCATTCACAGTGGGCACCCTATATAATTGGATTCAATAATGGAATCTATGTGATCATTGATCAGAGCTTTTTCTTCTCTCCTTTTTTTTTTTTAAATCATTTTTCTTCTATAAATTTACAAGACTTGTAGTTGAGGACGCTCGATCGAACTATATCTGCCACGTGGTTGTCAAGACAATAAATTATTTATAAGAAATGAAATTATTTACAATGAATCTTCTTATAATGATTAATTTTTAACTGTACTATCTTTTTTGTTTTGTAAACATTACTTTGTTTTTTGATAAATTTCACAATTTTCAACTCGTATTTTTCATGTGTTATTAGAGGAAAACAATTGAAATTATTTTTATATGTTGAAAGTATTGTTAAACTAATTTTTTAATAGAAAATTTTCTCATACACTATAATTTAACACCTTTTATAGTTTTATTACACATGCTCGTTTGAAAAAAAAAATGTAATTTGAGAATTGTATTGTTCATTTTATTACTTAAATTCAAAAACAGTAAGAATGATGTAATGAAAATAATGTATAAATAACATTATTATTTAAATGTATGTAAGAACTCATAATACACACTACACAAGAAATATTTTAATTTCATGATCCATTTTTTTTCTATATTATTTTGATTAAGGTGATCTTAGAAACAGTTTTTTTTTTTAAATATATAAACGTAAGATTTCATACAAAAATTATCCTTACTCCATTCTCGTTAGTCCGATCGAATTTAATGAAAAGTGATTTTATTATTTTGATTAAGGTCCTTACATGTAAGTAGGGTTTAGAAACCGAATCAGCTTTAATGGTTCGAATCAAACCATTCTAAATTGATTTTCAAAAATAAATAAATAATAAAATAAAATAAAAATATTAACAGTTAAGTAAAAAAGAACTGAACCTGATATATATAAAATGATTTGAAGAATAAATCTTTTTTTATATTATTTGATTCAATTCACAATCTAATTCGATTCTTTTCTATTTTTCTACACCCATATACATATAGGTAGCAAAATGGTTGATAGATTAACGAGGCAGTCAAAGGGTTTAATTTTTTATTACTAAAAAAAGAAAAGGTTTAATTTTTATTACACTTTGGCTAAAGTAACTAATGTCTTCATCCCTCGGATAATAGAATGTGGGTCTCTTTCTCTTTCTTTTGCTTTTTCAGCTTTGAAACATCCCTTGTTAACCCACCACCCTTCCCCTTTTCTCCTACACCACCTTCATAGCCGTTGGATTTGAAGATGTCAAATTGGGCTTTTCTATTTTTTTATCTATCTTTTGTCTTTAGAAGGTCTTTTTTTTTTCCCGTCATTTTCTTATCAGGCAAAGGAGAGAGATATATATACCTCTGGACCAGTTGTACACTTGTACTTGGTGATGTAGATACTGATGTAAACATCATGGCTTTTAATTTCTCAACTACATCTTTATATATATGCATATTTCTACAGTACAAAATATTAATGATGGTATGGACATGGACCAACCCAAGGAGTTAAGACTTGGATAGTTAAAATTAAAAGTATATTTATTTATTTTAAATAAAAGGAAGGAGCATTCAGTAGAATTTTCTCCAGCTATGACTTTATCACCCCTCCTTCTTCATAATTTTTCTTTTATAGGTCAATCAAAATTTGGACTTATTGCTCAATCATGATGGCCATTACTTGATGGCATACACAATTTTTTTCCCTCAAATATCAACGATTTATTTATATGAATAATGGAAAGCAGTTCAGTTGTAATAAGTTGAGGTGGTAAAATTGTCCAACTCGTCAGTTAGCTTGTTTAACTAGTCATATATTCGGTTGGGTTTGGAGTCATAATCCGCCAATATGTCTGTCTGTTACGTTTAACTTCTTGTATATGGTGGATTGGCTTGAGATTCACAATCTACCAACCCGTTTCAACCTATCCTGCATAAGGGTTGGGCAAAATGGATTGAGTCTGCCACATGATATATTGTTGGGAATAACCCATACTTCACATTGTTAATGATAGTTGTCGGGGTCAGCAGAAAGGCAACTAAGATTCTACTCTCAAGTGAGCGAGCAGGGATTCGAGGGCCGCCCCCCGAGGCCCGTAGAGACTAGGTACCTCCCATTTATTGTAATTTTTCCTTTTCTTAGTAGTTTGAGTTTGGACCATGAATAACTGCTATTAGAGTTTTCTAATCCTATTTATATTCTCCTTGTAAACTGAGTGACTTGTAACGAATGGCGATGAGATAAAATTGAATGAACCAGTCAATTACGGTATCAAAATTCTCTCTTCTTTTTCTCTTTAATTTTTCGATTTGTGTGTGATTGTTAATTTCCAACACATATGGGCCCGTCATATTATTTTTTTTAAAAAATAACACTATTTTTGTCAAAACATCATTTTACGACGGATTGAAGGGAGGGCTGATTATCCACTTTGTCACCTCTAAATTCACACTATTTTTGCACACATAAGATGGAACTCACCATGTGCCAATTTAAGACTTTTTTTATTTTTAACTTACAGTCAAGTGGTATTATTTGGTTAAATTTATGTGCTTATAGATTAATCATAAAGAACTACCAGCAAAGACAAAAATGTTAAGGCATGAACTTGTTACAAAAGCTCAGCCCGGAGATTTGAACCAACCACTATATAATACATGAGACCAAAAAAAAAATACAGCAGTGGTATAGAATCTTTTAATTGAATTGAATTTGTGCAACGTTTTGCTTTCCAAAAGTTGGTGTTGGAGGCAGAAACTGCATTGTGCACAGTAAATGCAATAAAACAATGGGCCCAAAAATCAATAAAGCAGTGCAGAGCAGAGAGGCAAGCCAGCCCAGGCAGGGGATGGACAATTTATGGACCCATCTCAAATTGAGTTTAGTGCATTGAGGGAAGAAAACATCAGCATGAGCCTGTAGAAGATCTTATGCTTTACCATACTCAAGTTAAGGACAAATATGGTGCATTGGAGCTGTTGTAATTTAAGTTACATAAATGACTTGCAGTTTGTGTGAAAAGAATACCCAACAAGGAAAAAAAAATGAATAATAAATCAGTTGACTTTGAAAGGCTGACATTGATATTTATATTGATGTGAAGCTTCTCACTAACGGGTAGAAAATGAGATAGTTTTTTTTTCACCCTAACAGCTTTGGTTGTGGTTGAGTTCCTTTCTTCATTTTCATTGAACTAGGCAAAAGACATTGTCACTGTTTGTGTCATGTCATGCTTTGCATGTATCTTTTTCCGAGCTTTTTCATCACTGTCTTTAATTCCTTTATCTTGCTGCTGCCAATCCAAACCCACGCATGCAACCCTTTCTTGCATCTTGGACGATCACTGCTAGTTTATGCTAGTTAAAGGTACAATTTGAAAACTGTATATAGACCACATGATTGTTTTCCCCTATCAGAAAATTTCACAAACATGCTGTACTCTCCAAGAACTTATAATGTTATATTGCATATGTAACACCTTCTTTGGAGGGTATAGGAAAACGACCGGTATGTATAAGGGTTCATCATAGCCTGATTTAGAAAGTGATCCTCTAGGTAAAAATAATTCACTCGCCTAAGTTTACTATAAAGAAAACTTTTTATTTTTTTAAATTTTTTGGTTCTTTGCTTTATCCCGGCACTCAACAGACAAAAGAATGCACAATCTTCGCATGTAAAATAGTGCTCTCAAGAATACAGTGTCATTTTAGTTTTGTTTTGTGTTTTCAATATCTTTCCTGATCACTACAATTGTTCATATAGCATATTGTTCCCCTGTCATCAGCTTATATCACTGAACAATCCAAACACATCATGCTCTACTACATCCTGAGTCATTGATCTTTTCACTCTACACAAGGCATCTGTTGAAAAAACCAGCTTCACCACCCTACTTCCATGCTCAGTTATCATTGTCTTTGGACTCAACAGTACGAACTTTTAGTTTTTGATAAATACTTATGGTTAGAGCTATGTAAGCTTACTTGCAGTTTAGTTTGTTAATAACTTTAACACGTTTGATAAATGATTAAGCTTGAACTTTACATGTTTGATTTATTAGGTCGTAATGTATATAATTATTATTTAAGAATGATAATAATAGTATAATATTTTATTATATATATGTTAATATAATTGTTTAACTAAATATATGTAAAAAAAATATTTAATTGAATTATAAATTCAAACTTAATTCATGAAAATTTAAAAACTCAATTAATAAAGGTTTGATATTGGCTCAACTAATACAGACCATGAACTTTTAAGAAAATAGACTTCATTTCCTAGTTGAGTCTAAGTTAACCTAAACTAATGTTAGCTCAACTTATTGCCAGTACTTATACCAAGACCCTAAATTAAAAATATAAAACCAATAGTCAAATTTAACTAGTTCGGTGCATAAACTATTTTGTAAACCATAAATGCGCAAGATTTTTCTATTCTTTTCATTTTAAGAAATTAAAATATTGCTTGCTTAAATCAAAGGAGGCAGTTGCTTATTAATTCACGTTATTTGGAATTAAATATCTCTTTCATTTCATCTAACGGGCAAAACTTAAGAAGGAAACTCACACAAATTTTGCAAACTGCAATTCTCAGGCTGCGAAAGCACAAACATATCTTTTCCTTGATCTTTAAATGTCAAGTGCACAAACTGCAATTCTCAGGCTGCTAGCTCCAAGTTGCATTGACCAATAATGCAAAAGGGATAGCTCACAAATTAGCCATTAATCTTCCCATTTCAGTCCAAAGAAGAAAACATGACCCCGTGCAGCTGCCAGCCTTCTTTAACATGTAAATTAGATTGATTTGCGCATTGGCCTCCTTTCTGAAGACAGGGCAGTCACTTAGTGGCAAAAGTAGAAGATTGATTGCTGGAGAGTATCCTGTATATCCCTCTAATAGTAGCTGGGGTTGTTCTGCAACAGCCACCTACAAGGGAAGCCCCTAACTCACACCATTTATTTACATACGAGACAAAATCTTCATCTGTAACACCAGTATTTTGCTGCAACAATAACAACCTATTATTAGCATTACATAATTCAAGAAATATCCCAAAAATCTCTAACAAATTATCTCCATTTTATATTTTGTCTCTCAAAAATATAAGGACATTAGGTATGAAGTACTTATAGCTTTAACAAACCATCAAGTCCATAAACTCGTAACATACAATAAACTAACTAGATAAACATAAACAGTAAAACAACTGAAGGTTATGTTGCGTACTAACTTTCACTTTTCTGCAGTCAAGTCCATACAGGTTCCATTAATTTCTCACATTATCGTTGCTACATGCACTATTTTCCATAGTCTTCCAAGAAATATAGAATTTTGCACTGGCTAAACATGATTATATAATAGCTAATCTCTATGAACTATGCACAACATGATTTAAAATCACATATCACTAGTACAAGAACATCGCTCAGTTCCATAAGATCAATACATAAACGTTCCAATTTCCAAACATGAATCCACACATAAATTTCAAGCCCTCTATAAAACTTTTAACTACCCATGTAAGGTGAAATGATAAATCAGCCCAAAATTTAAAATAATACATAAAGTAATAACAGAAAAGGAAATTTTGCTCTTGCTGTCCAGTTTTTCCTTTTCCTTAGAACCTTGAAATGTACTTGTGTACAATTACTAAGGATGTGAAATCTGACATTCCAATACCTACTAGTACTAGGCTACCACTTAGACTCCAACTTCTAAGCAACTTTCTAATTTAAATGATAGAAATTACACAAAACAGTCTCTGAATCAGTTTTGTAGTTCAGACAAAAATGAATAAAATAATTTCACCAAAAAGGAAAAGAGAAGGGATAGGCACACACCTATGTATTTTACTTTTAAATTAGATTTGACTTTAGAACCTTTCCTTTCTTTTATTTATTCCTTTCTTTTATTTAACAGCATATGAATTGCTTAATTCCAAGCAGACATTCCAATTTTCCAATGCATATTGGTTCATTTTTTATATGATAATCTAAATACCACTGATTTATCTTCTATAATTGATCTTTGTTCAATTTTTAAGACAAAGTCGACCTGCCTATCCTTTAAAAACAATAAAAGATGTAATAGTACAACAAGATGAAATGAACTTACCACCCACTCCTTTACGTCAGCATCATAAGTTTCCCCACTGTTTGGATATATAACAATTGGTTTTGTAGTCACCTGAAGAAATTACATATCAATCAAGGATAAGTGTTATACAAAGATAATTCTCATAACTATAATAATTTATTAACAGTGACATATTTTCTAACAAGAAAGTAACACATAAAAACAAGGAAAAAAGGACATTATCCATGTCAAAAGACAAATAGTTGCACACAAATGTGAAAACTGTACCAGGGTATAGGTTAAGTACTTTAGTCAAAGAAGTCTCCATTCATATAGGCCGTCTTTATAAATATATGCTAAAGGCTATTTAAGATATTATGCAACTCACAAACCTATACAGATTAACATCCACTTGTATTTATTATCCACCCAAATAGTATGTGAGTTAACAAAAAAAATAAAAATAAAAACAGCTTGGCAACATAGATACCTACACTTTTAGAAATGAAACTGTATTAATTAATAAAGACCCAAGAGAATAGGAGAGGATGATTGAACAAAATATTATGATAAATGAAGATAAATGTAGTTCAACAATTAACATGACATCCTACTCAGTTAGAAGAGAGAACCTGAGGCTCTACCTTCTTAAGCAATACTATCAGACCATGTATAAATCTAGGTGGGGTACAGTTGATTCCAACAGCAACAACTTTGTTGCATGATTCAGCAATGGAGCCACATTCCAGTAAAGAATCACCGCTAACAACATTAATTCCATCCTTAGAGTTAAAAGAAAACCATGCTGGAATCTTTATGTCCCCTTCTTCCAGAAGCTCTGCGTAAGCCTGCTTAGTCCATAAGTATAGTTAGGGAGATTCAGGAGTCTAGTCAAGACCAAAATAAATATTGTAAGTGGAGACTTACAAATTTTAAATGTCCAAGCTTACTTTCCGTTTAGATAACTGATTGTTGTATACTTGTTCTGGAAGTTCAATTGATTATATATGTCTCAGTGATTTAGTCATTATATGAAATTACCTGACTAGCGATTTTACCCTTTCACAAAGGCAATGGAAACTCCATAACAGAAATTTAATGCTTTATCAGTCTCTTGAGGTTTAGACAATAAATGGCGGATTTTAGGCCAAATTAAGTTGGGAAGACTATTATAGAAACTGAAAGACTCTATGGAGTGAGAAAGATCGGAATAAGGCCTTGATAATAAGATTACAAAAAAGATAGTGTTAATATCAGGAGCAGTTTTTTGCCTTTTCTATATCCAGAAACATCATATGACAGCCTTGCATCTTCTGGCTGCAGTTCAAACTACATATTAGGCAAGGTGTGCTAGGAACTGGGATAAAGAATTAGGAAATAACAGTGAAGAACCAGAATTTTATTGCTGTGACCTCTTCCCCAGGATCTGAAACAGGAAATGAAAGGTAGAGATTGAGGACAAACTATAATGGTGTCTCCCTCTTTCTCTCTCAATTCCAGGGATTAGAAAACCCTGTCCCCTCTACTTTCTGTTCTAACTTCCTGACCTCTCCCACTTTCTTACTCCCTTTTATTCTTTAATTTTCCCGCCCCTTTTCTCCAACTAATCTAACTGCCACTGTTAATTCTGTTGGAGACTCTCCGACTAATTAACGGTCATTGACTCTATGTTCCTCAATTCCATCTAACACACATCTTGGTAACTGGGGGTTTGCTAACAGAGTGCCATGAAGAGCAACGAAAAACATAGAATATATGGGGGAAAAACCAAAAAACAAAAAAAGAATCTGATTGACAATGAGGCTTCATTTCTTATAACAAAGAAAGTAAAACTAGGATAGTAATATGCCAGTACAGAACATGAAGTACATATGTAAAGTTTTAAACATCTGAAAGTATGGTCAACATGTGTTTAATTTGAGGAATTTCCACTGCGCATTTTGCTGCTTGTCCTGATTGTTTTTATTTGAAAAACTCTTTACTCAAAGAAAACATCCATCAAATTTTTAGATAATTCATGGTACCATGGGGATTGGTTTTTTGGTTTTAATTGATCTTCTCTCTGACTTATTAATATTAAGGGTTAAAGCAAGAAGAAGAAAAATTAATGCTTCGTTAATTTTCTAAAGAGATAGATAAAAAGGAAAAAAAAAATCTAAAAAGACAGCTAAAAATGAGCATAGGAAGTAGTTTTGAGCATTTGAATGCACAAAGCTTTTAGGATACCTGAGCTTCAAGCTTATTTGGCACTGTCTCAAAAGCAAGTAGGTCAGCACCTGAACCTGCTAAAATTTGAACTCTTCTCCGATGAAAATCTTTAAGAGTTTCCAATGTCATAGCATCACCATAATCCCCACTGTTAGGAACAAAATATCAAAAAACATGACAATCAAAAAAAATATGATTGCTATTAGTGCCGAGAATAGCAGCAAAAGTTTATCAAACCTCAAACTTTCAAAAATGTTAACAATTATATGCAGAAAAAGCTCAAAACTGTACACACATGCAAGATGACTAAGACATTCATTTCACACAACCTTTTGAATTTTCTCTTCTAAGAACCAGAAAGATTTTTGCCAAAATAACAGATACCAAGCTAAAAATGCCACCTTGGAAACAAAACATATCTTGAATATCATTTTGATTGTTAATCAACAAATGGGCTCCACAAGTAAAGTAGTAAACAAAAACCACAGCTGATGCTAAATACTAGATCTTAGTCCTTTAACCTGTACTCTGATCCGTCAGCCAAATAAGCTCCATAGCTCCCCACTGATGCTGCAATTAGGATAGTGCGTTGTTTGAGGATTCTACCATCAGCCCCACCACCCGAAGAGAATGCAGCACATCTTTCATAATACACATCGCGGGCCTCGCAAGCAATTTCAACGCTTCTTCTGAGCAAGGCTTCACTTTCTTCATTAGAAAAGCCCTTCGCTTTAAAACCTTGAATGGTGGCCTATGCACAAACAAACAACTACCTCAAGTTCATCTTTTTAGTAAGAAACAAAGAAATAATCAGAGACAACACATCCTTAGCAAAAGGAACTCACTTGATAAGATGCTGTGATTATAATGTCTGCACCATTTTCCAAGTAATCAAGGTGTACCTGCTCCATTGAGTAAGCCAACGATGATTTTAATTTGTAATTGGAAATGGCGAAAAAATGAAGCACATCATTCAATTAAGTTAAAAAAGATTAACGATTGATAACACTGTTTCACGATAATAATTCAGGTTCATGGAAATACAAGATCACCATTAGTAGATAAATTTATGACTCTGGCGTATACGAATTAACACTTGTGATGACAAATCGGTAAAAAGGTGAAAAACCCTAAGACTCGAAACGGTGCGGTTAGTATCTATGAGCGTATGCGGACAATTTTTCAATCGCAATCAATGAAAAGTTTTAGAGGTTTAAAATGGACGTGAGTACCTCGCGAATGAGGTGAGGGGAGGAATGGAGGCATTTGGCGCTCCAAAGCGGATCGTTGAGATCGGCGCCATGGCGTTCCAGCTCCGTCGCCAGACCTCCGTCAATGACGGCGGTGCCACCAGCCTGATGGAGGAAATCCGCTATAAACGACGACATTTTGACGCCGGAAAAGGGTGTTGGGTTTTTGAGATATTTTACAGGTTCAACTTCAAAGTTCAAATTACCGCCCGGGTTCAACGCTTATCTAAACATGTAGATACAAGTTGAGGGAGGGCTAGGTAGAATAAATTAATAATAAATGCATATTTTACAAACAGATTTATCAATATAAAAAATGGTAGGATATTGTGATAACCAAATAATATTACTATCAATGTTACTACCACATCTTAACCGTTGATTTCCGTCAATCAACGGTTATCATTTATTGTGAATTAATAATTAATTAATGAGATTGATTTGAAAAATGATAACCGTTGATTGGCAGAAATCGACGGTTAAGATGTGGTAATAACATTGGTAGTAACATTATTTGGTTGTCACAATATTCTATCTCAAATAAAAAAAGGGTTTTATAAGAGTGATGTTGTGGAAAAAGTGATTGTGTAATGTTATAGATAGGGGTGAAACTGGGCCGGGCCGGCCTACAGGGGCCTATGGCTCAGCCTACATCAGGCTAGATCTGACCTAATATATTTTGTATAATAGGTCAGACTCGGGCCTTAAAAAAGTCTGTTTAATAAAAAAGCCATAAGTCTACTTTCAAAAGGTCGGGCCTATAAGCCTTCAGGCCGAGCTATATTGTAATATTTATTTTAAATAAAATAAAATAGAGTAAGTATGCCTTGAAGAAAAAAAAGAGATATAAATTTAATCAATTGAAATTATTTATAACTTAATTATATTCGATTATATTTTAATAGAAATCTTACTTTATTTCTTATATAGGAGGAACCAACATCTCAACATGTTAGATTGTGTATATGAATATATTAAAATATTTTTTGGAGAGGTTATACTTACTACAAACATCATGATGTGTTTGTTTGTTGGATTCATGTAGTTATTTTAATTTACATAGTATGGATTGTTTGTTGGATCTGATGAAATACATGTTATTTAGTTTGAGCATTTTGCTTTTGAAAATGACTTAAATGCATATTGTATTAGTTTTGTTATGATTCATGATTCTGTTTGGACGTTGAAATTATGATTTTTGGCGTAGCAACATAATTTGAGTACTTTGTAAAGTTGATTCATAGTTCTGCTTGGAAGTTAAAAATTAACAGGCTAACGGGCTAAGCCAGGCCATTTGATTTTTTATAAACGGGCCAAACCAGGCTAACAGTTAGATTCATATTAGGTTTGGGGCAGGCCAAATTGAAATTTTTTGACATAGGCTTGGGCTTTTCGGGACAAAGCTTGGCCCAGCCCAGCCCACTTTCACCCCTAGTTATAGAGATTCGTTTTGCGTGCCGTAATTTCTTTTTTTTCTTTTTTCTTCAAAAAGTGTGGGTCCCACAAAATGTTGTGTGTGTAAGAAAGTTTGTTGTGTCATGTTAAATGACAAATGCAAACCCCTATAAAAAAATATTATCGCGTTACACATGGCATGGAAATATATTGGATCTGGATCCTCTAATGTGAAAAATCATGACCAAGTCATGTAGAAAATCATAATCATACAAAGGCAGATCAATGGTAATAAAGGAGGAGAGAAAAAAAATATTAAAATAGATAGTTACAAAATCATAACCAGTGATTTACCATTGTATCGTTGTGATCTTCTCATATGACCATGTCATATTTTTTTTTCATATGAATGGATCCATTTCCGAATATACTAGTTTTAAGTTAGGAAATTGTATAATTTTTCTTTAATGTTTTAAATTATTTGTAACGTTCCGATGGATTAAAAATTATATGAATTCGCTGGAAAAAAAAAAGTGTAATTTTTTAACAAAGTTTTTTTTTTAATCCACCGCTTTTCCCACCCAATCACATGTTGTGTCATGTACTTGGAATATGGCCTTAAAATTCATTCCTCAATATAAGTGCATTAAACCCGAGATATGGTGATAGGATCGAACAACATCCAATCATTGATATACATTCCATTAATCAAGTTTGTCACCCCACGAAATTAAACTAATTAGTTTTAGCTTTTAGGTCCGATTGAGTGCCCCTATTTATCTTTTTCTGTGGTTTTGTCTAATTCAACTAAATAGTGTCATGATAATAACGTAAATATATATAGTAATATCTCCATCCTTATATGCATTAAATAGGTGAACCTATCACTCATGGTTTTAAATCACAGATTACATCACGATGTGGTATTGTGGTTAGTATAAATGGCGACTGTGGTTGTGTTATCAAATTCAGTTCAAACTGACCAGGTTGATTCAAAATCCAATGAACCAATGATTTAACCGGTTCGAGTCAAGATATAGACAGATAATATATTAAATTCAATAAAAATCGGTTTGAATCGATCATGTATTATCAAAATCAGTAATTCAGTTGGTCACAAAAAAGTCGGAGGGTTATGTATTTTTTTTTAAAAAAATTTCAAAATTATTCACAAAATTTTAAAAAATAATAACTCTTCCCAAATGAAATCCTTATTCACAATTGCCGATTCCACTACTTACTCAAACACTTCTCTTATCTAATAGTTGATTCTCATATTCTCTTTACTCTACAAAGTTATTAATTCTACGCTCAAGTCTATCCATCTTACTTGCCTTGGGGATTGTTTTCAACTACATTAATGTCTCTTTAGTCTCATCCATGTTCCAATATTATCACTTTCTTCGCACTGTTTACAAGCACCATTTCAATGCCAAGGGTCGGGTATGTTCATGTTTTTCATTTTTTTTTCTATTTTTATGTAGAAAAACTCCATATTTCATTTTAAAAATGAATTACTTAAAAATATATTTTTGGTGTCTTGTCTTGAATCGTAAAAAGTTTAGATGTGAGTTTTTAATAAAATATCTTTAAAATATTCATTTTAAAAACTCCAAATTTCCAGACATGGATTTGTCTAGTCAAGATGATCATATTAGACATTGTCTGCATAGTATTAGTGTGTCTTGAATCGAAATTGGTTTATAACTTCCCAACTTTTACACAATTTGTAGAATTTGACATGCAAGATATATAGTAGATTTAGCAAATTTCTTATGAAAACTGATGAGAAATAATTTTTCTGTGGATTCTACCGTGAATTTTTAAGTATAAAATATAAATTTGGGATCTGGATCCTCTCATATAAAAAAAAATGACATGGTTATGCGGGAAATCATAACCATACAAAGATAAATCAATGATAATAAAATAATAAAGAAAAAAATATTATAATAGGTGATAAATCAATTGGGATGTGATTGAAAACCAAAACCTAGTCAGCAGCTAAAGGGGCTTTGTTATTATTACATTATCCTATTGAAATGGGCCTCATTTTTGTGGGCTTCGTTTCACCAGGCCCACGTTTTTGAGATTGCGTGTTGAAATTGTTTCTGGTGTCTTATTTGAGACATACACGGCTAGGACGAGTGAGGGTTATTTAAACATTAAGAAACTAATCTAAGTTAGCATCGAATGATTTATTTTGTTGTGTGATATGCTCTTATGAAAACTTGTTAGAGCTCCTTCTTCAGGATGCTTCTGTAGATCTTTTAAGTTCTCGCATCGTGTTTTTTTTTTTTTTTTGGGGGCTTTTGCCCCTCTTTATTACAAAAAAAAAAAAAAAAAACTTGTTGCAATGCGTTTACTGATCTCTCCGTCGTTTTAAACTTTTTCATGCTTAACACATGAGATTTGATAAAACCACATCAATAATCATCTAAATTATGTCTAATCTCATTGTCATTGATCCGAAGGGTACAGTACAGAGCAATAACCATTGTGAAATGGGTGTATCAATGTATTTTCGAGTTAAACCTCCAATGTAATTAGACACTCTAACAGCATGTAGTTAGACTTTATACCTGAATCTAATCTAGTCCTTAATAGACAAATTGCAAAAAAAAAAAAAAATCTTAAAAATGGTGGCATTCTAATTAAAAAAATGGTTACAACTCTTATAAATTTCTTAAATTAGTTGTCTAGCCCCCTTTTGAACAACTGTGATATTTTTATTGTGTGCCATGTAGACTAAATGTCATTTGCAATTTAATAACTTTTATATCTTTACCCTCTTATTTCTTTTTCTTTTTTTTGTTGCAAGTATAAGAATTAATAATTAAAAAGAGTCATTCGTAACATATTAACATTAATTAATTATTTAAAGAATTTTTATATAATTTTAAGTTATTAGTTATGAATTCACATTTTACGTTCTTTTCTTATATGTGCTTTATACTTTATGGCTTTAATGCTTTTACCATGAATGTAAGAAAGTTATTTATCTTTACTTTTCAAACGACGTTGTTTTGGATTGAAAGATTAAAAAATTATAATGAGAAAAATTATTATAATTTTAAAATAAATTATAATTACAACAATATTATGTTTTTTGTCTCAAAATAATATCGTTTTGAGCTCAATATAAATAATTTATTTACGTTGACCGAAGAAAAATCCAACACATATTTTATATATCATTTTATTAAGGTATACAATATCGGGAAAGAAGGCAAGCACACTGCAACACCAAGAGCAAGGCCATCGATGTTTCATTTAAGTTTTTATAAGAATGTCCGAAAATTCGCATATATAATTGGGAGCGGTTGGAACAACAAAATCAGCAAGTAATGTGTTTGAATGCGTTGCACATGGGGACAGAAAAAGTTCGCATGTGTTCATTATTTAAGCTAACAATATCATGACAATTATAGGACTGAACTTGAGCTTTTGCCTTTTGGTATCTTCGATGTCGAAGTGGGGACATGATATGCCATGTTGGACGTATATTGGGCAGTGTGCTGCCATGGCTACTCCCCGAAAAAATCTAAAGTGAGCACTGAAAAATTTGATGATTTCTCTTACAAGAAAAAAAAAATTCTTCCCTTTTTATTCATATTTTTCTTCTTCTTTTTTTTCTCCCCTTTGTATCGAATGAGTGGTGCTTCCGAAACACCCAAATTCCTCACCTACTCCGCATCAATTCATATTAAGTCAATTAACTAGTATTTGGGGTTGTAGTTTGTCGTTTAATATGACACAAAAAAATTTCTTACATACACAATATTTTTTGAGGTCCGCA